TGGTCGGGAGGGTTCCCCTACTCTGAATAGACTACAGAAAAAACAGGGTTCCCTTATTCAAACCTCTCTACTAGTTTGTTTGTTTTTGTTTTTTTTGGGGGGGGGCCGCAGACACCAACAAACGCACAGGCCGGTTGGGAAGAATGGCGCCTGCTGCGAACAGATTAATCACCTATTAATTGGTGCAGGATATCGGCCGGAATTTATCCCCACCCCCTAGTTGAGTCTTCTGCAGCCTTGCGAGGGGAAAAACCGAAGCCAACCACTTGGGACCTCCCTCTGTTCGGTAGCCTCATGCTTCGTGGATTCGCCCCAGATGACCAGGTCACTAGGCAACTGGTCTCCCTCCTGGGAACCTGCTGCAGAGTTGGCTCCGAAAGCTGCAGGGCTTCAGTGCGCCAAAGTGAGGCTAGCCAAGGAAAGCGCGGTTTGGCCCATGGCTTGAAGGGCTAGGCCAGGAGTCTGTCATTGGTGGGTGACATCAACGGCTTATAGGTTTGGGAATGTTTGGGAGCGGGGGTGTCGACTCGCCCCTAGCGAGTCGGCAAATGGGAAAACGCCGTCCCGGCCCTTGCTCGGTGTTCTGCCCACTTAGTATGTAGTTTATGACTGACAACTGGGATAAAAGAGTCGGTCCCGTATCTCTATGTATGGTTTTAACCTGCTCGCTTGGGTTGAGCACCCAAATTGGCGGCGTGCAGGAATACGCGAAGAAGGGGGCCTACGCCTATGTGTCGATGATCCAAAGGGAGGAGCGCAAGCACAAGGCGTGGCGGGAAATTGCCTTGGATCTTGACGCGGGGAACGGCAGAAGACGCAAAGATGCGTGTTCCTTGCGTTGGCGGCGGTGGTGGTGGTACTCCCGTCCTACTGTCCCATTCTTCTGGGGGTGTTCCCCTCCAGAACTGATGAATGCCGACCAAAAAGGGACACCGCCCGATCAAAATCAACCAGGGCTTCACTACTCCGAGGGTGACTGCTGCGCCTAAAGTTCGTTGCTAAGGGGCCTGCCCTGGTGTAGTTGGAAGCGACCCCCCCCCCCCCACAAAGGCAAAGGGAGGGCCCTTTGCCTCCACAGAGGTCCAAGGGAGGGATGGAACCTGCTTGGGTGATGGATGGCTTATGGTGGATCAAACTTGGGATGCTGTCCTGCGTTGAGAATGGCCCAAGAAATTTGCAGGTGCACTGCCGTTTGATGTGCTCAGATAATTGGCACCACAAAAAAGCCAACATTGGCTGCACGGTTTCCTTGTTGAGTGGTGCTGCTAAGAGACTTGCAAGTTGAGCCGACGGCATTTGCCTGTTTCGCCAGACGGGTGCCGGATTCTTTAGCCAACAATGGAAGTGCACCATTCAGGGCCTTTTCAATATGGGCTTGCGAAACATGCGATCTTCCATGAATTTCTGGGTGGATCCTTGAAAGCTGGTCTTTGAGCGATATCATTTCTCAAAAAAAGGCAACTGGTTGGGTCGTTTCTAGGGGTTGATTCCCCATTCTTTCCAACCAAGGTTCTTTTCGAACACCGGCCATTTTTCTCAGGGCTTTTGGGTGGTTTTCTAGAAAGATTCGGATCCCTGGGTTCAGAATGGGGGAGTATTGGCAGCCTGGGCTCGACAGGTGGAGACCTTGACGCACCAGAAGTGGCCCCTTGGTCATGGGCCATGGATCTCACGAATCGACCGGATCTGATCTGACATGGGTGTGGCAATCAAAATTAAACGATCGGAGGGGCAAACCGCAGGGTTTGGTTTCCATGTTTTCCACTTGCCAGGGCAAGCCATTTTGGGGTTGCCCGGTTTTTTGAATTCGCCACAGCCAAATATGTTTTCCCCCGTTAAACTGTTCCCCATCGCTCTTTTCGTGGAGTCATAGCTGCCATGGCCCCAAGAGGCGAGCCTGTTATTTCGGGGAGCGGGCAACTTGGGGGAGCGGGCGTCGGGATTTCTGTTGAGCATTGCTTCTATGGGGCAACAGCCCCTGTTCAGGGCTGGCAAACCCCAGCGGAGATCTTCAGTTTGCGTTGGCACGGATTGAAATTTCTGACGGAAGCAGACGTTTAAATTGAAGGTCCCCTAGCAGAAGCTTGCTTTGACCCGTAACCTTTTGGCTGAACCAATCAAGGAAAGAGGCTCCAGCAATGGTGGATATGGAGACCCGCCACTAAAGCGCAGCAAACCCAAGTGATTCTGAATCAGTATTGGGCAGGAGGATTCTTCTCGGGCTTTGATTGTTAGGGTAAAAAGTCATAGAATCATAGAGCGCAAAAGAAAGGCCGCTGTTGTTTACCTCGTGTTTGACATGCTTACTTGAGGTGTTCACAATGGGTATCCCTCGATCTCACAAAACCAAAAAAAGGATATCCCGGTTTCGCGTTCATGGGGGTTGTGGCCACGGTCAAGTAGTGCGTGGTTCAACTTTCTCCGGTTTTGGGTTGGCCTGTTTGTTTGCCGCAACTTCTGTGTTCCGCAGCATTAGCTCCCGGATTTCGATCCCACCGGCTCCCCATTTGAGCCACCCACATCACGACAGGCAGAGCGGGGAATTCATTGAGGCACCTTTGGTTTCTCAATGCCTTGGATCTTTCATCTGGAATCTTGGGCTGTTTCCTGCTGAGGCTAGTCCTCAATCCTTACCTCGGGTTAAGGAACCGATGCCCTTTGTGGCTTCCCATAGGCCTGGAAAATCGGATTGCCCAAGCCAGTTTGAACAGCCTAATTAGTTTTCCTGGCCAACGGCACAACACCTTTGCAGGTTTCTTCGAAAGCTACTCCAGCCTCTTAACTTAAGGACTTCATGGTGGCGTTCCTTGATTTCACCTCGGGCTCAGGAGCGGCTCCGAAATTGTGGACGAGATGGGGAACGTGGTGAGCGGGGGCTTGTCTTCCACAGGCCCCCCCGATGTCGTTGAAAACTTCGGATCTGCCGGGGCCAGCCCGCGGTTGTTCAACACTAACACTAAAGCTGAACCAACATGATGGTGGCAAAGTGGGTTTGACCACCTGGATCCCTGTCTTCAGTTGGAAGCCAACAAGAGGTTGTGTAGGCAAGTCAAGACATGTCAACAAAAGGTTGGCTATGGCCATCACCCGACTCTCCGGGAACTCGGCGCCTCCAAATCGCCCCGGGCTTGCGACCACACGGTTTTTTTCCTTGCGGCCTTCATATGTTCCATCACTTCCCCTCTTAAACCAGCAAAACAGCTGGTATTTGGCAGGAGTCTAAGTCAAGCTTTTTGTTAGAACATCGGGCACGACCACGCCCTGGTAATTATTCATGAACATGCGAGGCAAAACTAGCGCTCAGGAACAGAAGGCCTTTACATTTCGTTGAACGTGGCCGCGCTGGCTGCGCTTCGTTGGCAGGCATGTTCGAGTTAAGTCAAAACCGGTGGACCCCGCCCGCGGACCCCGCCCGAGATGAATCTGACGAAAGCAGAAAGCAGTTTGCCACCTGCTCCTTTCCCAATGGGACCCCATTCAAAGCAACCCCTCACACCTCTGTTTCCTTTCCCTGGAGTTCCCACTGGACCATTTCTGCAGTAACACCCTTGGGCTGTTTCGGCAGGACCTCCCAACCACAATTGAGGGGGGTGAGTTATTTGGAAGGCATCATGTCCGCCGGTGTCACGGAGAAGCAGTTCTGAGAGCGCGTGCAAAAAATACCAGAGGGGCGCAACTTCTGAAAGCCGAGTCGACGAGTTCGCTGGGTGCCAAATAGTCCACACTTGAACGACTTGTTGCTCTTGCCAGCAGGACACCGAAAGGGAGCGCATATTTCTTTCATTTCCCGGGCTGCCTATGCAGCTACGCGCAAATTCTCATTTCGGAACTTGTGCTCGTCTCGAACCCGTTTTCCGCTTGAGAGGCTTCTCCATATCCGATTTCTCAAGCCTTCTGCATGTGCCGAGCAGCCACCCTCAAACGTTGCGATCTCGGTGTTCCTCAAGTCGTGTGCTAGTGTTCAGCGAGAAATACCGCCGCGAGCCTTGTTTGCACCGGTTTTGATGGTGGCTCAGGTGGCCTTTTGTCTGCAAGCCCTGAGTGGCTCTTCGCAACGCGCGGCCGCAAAGGCCGATTTAGAGGTGGCAAATTGCACCTCGGTTTTTTCTCAGCTTTTGCTCGGCGCTCCCATGCCGAAAAGGCCTGCACCAGATGCTTTTCGGGCGAGACATGCGAAGCCTAAAACCCAAGGATAGATCGGGAAGCTCTAGTACTTGGAAAAAATAAGGCGGACCTGTTAAAATCGCGGGGAAGCTGGCCTATGGCCAATAAATGCAGCTTTCACCTTGATCCGTTCTGGGGTCGCCTTCAGACGTATATTTTAGGGTAGGCTAAACATGGAAGAGTCACAGAGTTGGGCGCTTTGTAGACAGGCACATCGGTGCAGGTTGCCCAGGCGGAAACGCGGACAGTACAAGTGGGCAGAAAAATTGGCGATGGCGCGTCGTGGGCCCTTGTTGCTCTCAACTTGGATGTCGCTTCTTTGGATAATTTGGGTGCGTGTCAAAATGGGGGGGGGGCCGAGCTCAAAATTGTGGTGTTTCTTTTGGTTTCCCCTTGAGCCAACCTAAAATGTATCCCTCAAAACACACAATTACGCACCCCGACTGGGATGCCATAGATGTTGCGTCCCTGCTGCGCGTTTCAGTTTGCACTCTTTCAAGGCTATTCCAAGCTTGGCAAGTGGGGTAATGTTTATCCAAAATGCTCCTCAGAGTTGAATGCAAGCAAGCATCGGAGAGACCCGCAACAGAGGAGGCTCATGTTATAAGTGAGTTTGCCCAGGCCAATCATTCTTCCCTCGAAGAATGGACATCATGCCTCAACGAGCTCCCTGACACTGACAGTGCTTCCCCGATGTTGGTATCACGCAGTCCGCGATCTGTGAATCTCAGTGGTGATCCGACCACGAAGATCTGCGTCTCAAAATTTGCGGGGCAAATCACAAAGTGCTTGTTCGTTTGGTTTACATCAAAAGCGCACGCCAAAGACAGGACCGCAGACCGTAGCTTTTGAGGTCTCAGGTCGTCCCTTCCCGCCTCCCGTTTGATCTGATTATGGCAGCTGTCGCGGTGGATGCTCGGCTTCAAATCCGGTGCTCAGGGGGTGTATGGAATGGATGTGGAAGAAAAGTCAGTGGTGGTGCGTGGACTGGGATTCCGAGTTGTCTGGGGTGCATGGATACTGGATACCAAATCATTGGCCGCCCCTGGCCGGTGGTGTCAAGCAAGGTTAGCCCCGATCGCAGGGCCCGTGTTTCCAGAAGGCACCAGGTTTTTGCTTTGGCCATTGCGTTCTTGGTACCCGGCAACCACAAGTGAACATAGCAGGCCATGGCTTTTGACATTGGAAATGAATTAGCCCCCAAGTGAAAGAGGGGGGGCTACTGGACAATCCCTAGCGAATATTCTCACCTCTTTTGTAGCGGCCGATCCGGGGGCCAAACGGCTCATGAGATCCGGTTTACTTATTTTGTGATAGTTCCTCTCCCCAAAGCCAGAGGTGCCCTCTCCGGTGCTTTCCGGGTAGGTTTGCCTAGCGGCCAGTTGGGCTTCGCTGGGCTTCGGTCAAGGGGCATTACCGGCACAGCCTTTCGGTGTTCCCCGAATGGGCACCTGCTCGCTGACTTGCTCTCTTCCGCATGGAATGGAGAAGGCACTTGCCTCTTCAGCCGATAGTCTTCCAACAGCCCCTCTACACCTCCATGCTTGTTGCCAAGAATATGTTGAACAATGTGTCACTGGCTGTTCATTTCAGTTTGGCTGGATGTTCACGGGCCGTGATGGGGTCCTAGCTCTAGGAGAAGCTGGAGACGCCCAAGAGCGTGGCAGTCATCTCCTTTGGCAAAGAGCCTGTGAACAGCCGCTTCGCTCGGATCCACCCAGCGAAGTCGGAAGTCGGATTCAAAGCGCGGCTTTTCTCGCGAGACTGGGGACATGTACTTGGTCGTAGTGCCCTTTTAGAGTTTCTTTTTTTTGGGGGGGATTCCCTACTAAATAGGGTACAGAAAAAGGGTACCCTAGTTCAGCCTTGTTCTAACCTCTCTACTGGAACCTAGTTTAGAAACTGGGGTTTCCGTACCTACCGTCTAACGGTCTAACGATCTAACGGTCTTCGGCGGGCATTGAAGCCGTCCGAACAGTCCTCAATGTCTTTGTTTGCTCGCTCCATTGCGGGGCAAACTGTTGCTTCTATAGCTTCCCTGGTGCCAAGTTAATTAATGGGCTTCTCAAAAGGTTTTGTTTTCTTTTCGAGGCTCTTTTTTTCAGGTTGGCTTAAAGGGAAGCTGAAACGAAACCAAATTCCACTGTTTTGACATAACTCCATAGTGGTTGGCCTTTTTGGTTTCCTTTCAATGCCAACCAAAAGGAGGTCAACCATTTTGAGAAGCTCCTACAAGGCGTTTCGCTTCCGTGTACGCGATGGATATGTCACGGTGTTTTTCACCGTATGTACGTTTGTTTGTATACTTGCCAGCTTGTCTGCCATGTCATGTCTTTGCCTGTCTCGTCCGTCCGTTCACCGCTCTTTCTGTCTCTCTCCCCCCGCCCCTCCCTCTCCGTGTCTCTCTTGTCTCTTTGTGTGTTTGTTTTTGTGGGCTTGTTTGTTTGCCTGCCTGCCTGTTCTGACTGTCTCCCTCTCACTATGTCTCTGTTTGTCTCTCTTTGTCTCCCTTTATCTTCATCGGTCTGTGTCTGTCTCTGTCTGTCAGACTGGTCTGGTCTGGTTGGTCTGTCTGTCTCTCTCTGTCTCTCTCTGTCTCTCTCTGTCTCTCTCTGTCTCTCTCTGTCTCTCTCTGTCTCTCTCTGTCTCTCTCTCTCTCTCTCTCTCTTTCTGTCTTTTCCTGCCTTTGTCTACATCTCTTTGTCCTTATTTGTCAGTCTCTGTCGGTCTGTCTCTGCCTCTCTGTCGCTGTCCGTCTGCTTATCTGTGTGCATGTGTGGCTGTGTCTGTGTGTCTGTGTCTCTGTTTGTGTGCGTGCCCACCTGTTCGCTTGCCTACTGGGATTTGGGCACCCTGTCGGTTTGATTTGCACCCCCCCCCCCAAGAAAAAAAAAAAAAAAACGAAGAAGAGAAAAACAAGCAACAAAAAACAAAAACACTCAAACAAGATGTCGGAGCTCCTTTCAATTGCACATGAAATCAACCAGCGAGAAAAAACAAGTACCCTCACAGAAACAAACTGAAATCCGTATCATACCCTTCTGGGCCACCCCCACGCATGGCCGTGTTTGTTTGTTTTGTTTTTTGGGGGGTGGGGGGGTGGGGTGGTTCACCAGCAAAAAAAACATGCGTCTGGGACATACTGTGGATGGACGAAATCCTGCACCACTCTGAAACTATGGAAACTATTGTTTGTGCAGGGGATTCCTCCTTCCAGGGTTGCCTAGGTGGTCCAGGAATTCGTCCATCCACAGTATCACTGTTGCCCTGACCATATTTTTACACAACGCATTTTTCCGAACAGCTGAACGTTATGGGGTCTCCCATAGAATCGGTTCGTGGTTTGGAAAGTCCGGGGAACCCCGGGAACAAGCAAAAACACGTTTTTTGTTGTTGTTTTTCTTTTAGCGGCATTTTGGTCACAAGGCGTCTGGGTCCCCCAGCAGGGCACTTTTACCAACTTTTTTTTTAGTTGGGAGGGTTCCCCTACTAAAAACAGACTACAGAAAGCAAAAAGGAAGAGGGCGCGCTTATTCTAAGCTCTCACATCTGGAGGACCTAGATATGTTTGTTTTTCCCCTGTTTTAAAGGGAATCGATTTCACTACCCGGACATCTTTGTTTTTTTCCCAAGGGACCTAGAAATCTCTTTAAACAAAATCCAGGGGACCCTTATTTTTTCTTCCGGACGTCTTTTCTTTTTTTCCACCACCTGTTTTTTTCCCCCCAGGGGACTTAGGTGTTTTTCTCTCGCCGAGCGCCGGAGGCATGGACTTAGACTTTTGGAAGCAGCTCAAGGCCGCCTTCGAGGCGGCCCAGCCCGCTTTCGGCCTCGCCCCGCGCGGGTCAGCGGGTGGCGGGATTGGCGGCCGGATCTCTTCATCTTTTTGCGTTTTTCTAGGGGTAACTTCCATTTTCATTCTGAACCCAGGGATCCGAATCTTTCTAGGAAACCACCAAAGCCCCCGGGGAAATGCCGATCGGTTCTTGAAAAGAACGATGGCTGAAAAGAATGGGGAAGCAACCCCTAGAGTTTTCCTGGTTGGAAAAGGCCTGGGGGGTCAAATTTTGGGGGACCCACCCCCAAAAGTTTTGGCTGGGTGCCCTTTTTAGGTTTGCCTTAAACGCCAAGCAACTGGGGGTACCCTCAAAAAAAAAAACGGCGGACTCTCTGAGGGCGCATGGCCCTCAAAGGTTGGCCTTTGTTATGTCTGGGTCCTTTGAGCAGCCGAGTTGGGGTTGAACAACCAAGCTCATAGGAGTCCCCCCCCCTCATTGAGCCACACATCCGGGGGATAGCTTTCCCACCTTGCAGCCACCCAGAATCATGGGCGATGCCCGGCACCTGGTTTGAGGCTGAAAGGATTGGATGATTCCAGATAACTTTGCATTTTTTGCCGACTGGCCATACACTAGAGCCCTTGGAGTGATCTGAAACGGGCAGTTCTTGCATGTGTAGTTGTTGTTGCTATATGTGCCCTTGTCTTTTGTGGGGCCTAGCTTCTTTTCTTTGTTTTTGGACTATGGTAGACTAAATATGAAACAGAATCTGAACACATTCTTCTCTGTGTACCTCAGATGTGCCCCAACAATTTGGGGGCTGGGGTTTAGGCGAACGCTCACAACATCTTGGGCTAGCAGATGTCTATCTAGGGCTCTGTGAAGGACGGTGTAACATCTTGCGAGGGCAGCGGTGCGCATCCGGACCCCTTTGAGGTCTTGCAGAACAGCCACCATCGACTGGGGTGCCTTCTGGGGAGCTAAAATTCCGACTCAGTTTGCTGGGCTGCACGGTCAGCTGCCCAACAAATTGACAAGAAGTGATTGTCCCCAGAATGGTAACACCACGACTGTTACGCAGGGGGGTGAAACCGATGAACCCCTACCCATGGGCAAGCTACACAAACCGATCGGTGCCTGGCATTGGAAATGCTTGTCCAGCCGTATGTTTTTTGGCCTCCCACCCACCCCACACACACACACACACACACACACACCCACACCCCCACACCCCAACACACACCCACACACACCCACACACCCCGCAGCCCCCCCACCCACCCGAGACATGGAAACAGCATGCGCGTCCCGTCCGCTGGCAGGGCCTTGAAGCGGATCCAGCGGTGCGGGGCGTGGTCTTCCAGTCGACGCTGAAGAAGCGGCTCGAACTCACCGGCGATGTGAGATGTTCGGGAGGATGAGAAAGCGGGCGTGGGGGAAGCTGGAAGGGGTGGAAGGGGTGGAAGGGCTGGAAGGGGTGGAAGGGGTGGCATGGGGTGTCACAAGCTCAAGGCTGAAATGGGGCTGGACAAACAGGAAGGTTGGGCATAGATCCTTGGCCCTGGGCCCTGCGGCGGTCCCTGGAAGTGCCCTAGAAGTGGCGCCCTTTTGAAAAGGGCCCGCAGGGAAGGTTTTTGTTTGCGGCTAGCGGTGTTTCATTTGAGTCAGACAGAGGGTAAGGAATTGCCAATTACCCAACCTCTTTGAAGCCCCAAATGTGAGGTCTGTTTGGTGGGGGTTCAGGACAGTTTGGATCGAATTTTATAGGGAGTCGATTTCACAAGGACACCTAGTATTGCACTCAGACAGTCCCCGTATTTCTCTTGGTTTTCAAAGCCTTGGAGGTCAACTTATTGAGGTTCAATGTTAGACACCCCGGGGAACCAAAACAACCCTGTCAGAACAGAGACCGGTCTTTGTGGTGAAGGTGACCGTTCAGAAGGGGAACCCAAGCCAAAAACTGGGTGGCTTGCCCCAAGAACAACTAAAAACTGCCTGTTTGCCACTTGTTACAAAAGGTAGTCTTCCCACAAACTCGGGAGAAGTTTCTCCCCGCATCACCGCTGCAGCCTGACTTCGCTTCAGGAACATTTTCACTGCGGGGCTGGACATCAAGGAGCTTCACGCGCGGTCCACCACGGAGGACACGCCATGGGAGATGAAGTTGGGTGGCGGTGGCTCACGTAGTTGTTTGATGCTTGTGTGTTTTTGTTGGGTAGATGTTTTTGTGCCCGGGTGGGGGGGGGGGGGAGAAGGTTGTAATTAGGTGGGCGCAAGCTTGTGCAGGCCGGTCATTGAGCCATTCCCATAGCTTGAGCGCGGCAGCTTAAGCTAGTCCAACCCAACACCTTGGACCGCAGCCTCTCACGGTGGTGTTTGCTACACTGCTCAGCTGGGCACGGCAGCAACCAAAGCCTAACGAACCTTAGACTCGAGCTTGGCTCTGCTTAACATGCCCCTCTGCCTTGTTGCCAGTGGCACGGCCTTGGATCTTGAAACTTCTCTTAGGGTTGCTCCCCAGTCTTTCCTCGTTGGCTGGTGAAACATCAGCGAGATGGTCTCAAGCCAAAAGCAAAAAAAACACGTGGGCGTCCTACTATGTTGTTGGCGCCCCTGAGTATCAGTGGGCACCTTTTTCGTTGCCTTGCTGAGTCAAGACCCTCCGGACGCAACGGCAGAGAGAGAGAAACCTCAAAAGGTGACAGATGTCCCTCGCCCCGAGGCGCGGCTGAAAGAGATGTGGCTGACCCTGACACAGGCGGGACCCTGAGATCATCGCTCGGTCTTGGGGGAGCTGAGGGACTGTCAACCCTGGGTGAAAGGCGACCTTTGAACGCCGGAGGCAGATGTCCATTGTAAGTCTTGGACAGCTTCACCAGAGAACTACTCTGGTGATTTTGGGTAGGTATGTCAAACGCGGACAACAGACGATTCCACAAAAGCTTGGTAGTGCCCGGTAGTGCCCTCGACATTAGCACCCAGGCCTCACCACTTACGTTTGCAGTTCTTTAATGAAAAACACCTGCAGCTTTGTTTGCCAGTTTCTTAACACAAGTTCCATGTTGTTGTCGACCGTTCCATACGGATGGACCCAATCTTTTCCACCTTGCTCATCGGCCTTGACTGACTGTTCAGGGGCAATCCTCAATCCTCGGGTTACCACCAAAACATCACTTTTTGGAAGATGGACCATTCCAGGGTTCCTTGTTTTTCACTACCTTGGGGTTGGCTTAAACCCAGGGGTTTCCCTTTCAAGGAATCACTGGAGGCAGTCCAAAAACGGGCCCCTGCACCTTCTTGGTTCGAAGAAGTCCCTGCCCTACGACCACTCCGCGCCTTCGGCTCGACTCATCTACTCAGACGCTGTCGGGGATCTACGGCAGCCGCCTCGCCACAGTGGCGGCCATCAACGGCGCCTGCCCGGCCGGCGGCTGCGTGCTGGCCATGTGCTGCGCGCCTTGGACGGGAGGTGGGGCCATGGGATGGGCCATGGGCCCCACCATGAGCCATGGGCTGAGGCCATGGGATGAAGAAAAAGATCACTTTGGGGCCATTTTAGGGACCATTTGGAGACATACCCACTTCGGAAGTGGGTGGTCGCCATTTACATCATGCACTATATGTGAACCTTTCCAGGCGCCGCATTCAGATGGATTTTCCACAGCGCAGCTTGCGAGCACTCCCCATTTACCCGAAAGCTGCGTGAGATTCCGCGCCAAGTTGCCACATATTTGTTCCAGGCCTAGTGAGGACCCAACCTCAGGAAGCTTCGCTAGTCAGGCGGTCAGCCAGCCTCAATCAGCCTGACCCAAGATGTGGCTGGAATGACCTCATGGTGATTGTGTCGGGCGCTGTTCATATGGAACTTTGACTCCTTTTGGTGACTGGTGGCCTCCTTTTTTCGCCGGTCAATTTCTGCTCACCCAATCCCCAGGGGCAAGAAGCCTCCCCCTCGGGGCTCCCGAGTTGTTCTCCCTGGGGTGGTGTTACACATCCCCGTTGGCCTTCCGGTGAGACCTGTAGAGTCATGGTTCAGTCCAACCGCCCGCCTTGGGTCAAGCCGCAGTTTGTCACGTGGTAATGACGGGAGCTCATAGCGAGCCTTTCATGCGCGCCCTGGCGCGCATGTCAAACAAGTTGTCCACCCCGAATCCGGGTGCCCCACCACTGTGCCACACCACTGTGGCCACTAGGTAAGGGGTAAAAAACCACGGGGTGTCCCTGTCAGCTTGCCGAGGACTACCGCATCATCACCTGGGAAGGCTCAATGGGGCTGAACGAGGCGATTGGGCGACCGGATCTTCAGGGCGGGAAAAAGCATCGGCGGAGGGCGGGCGAACGATAGGAAGAAGTGCCGAAGCCTTGCCCAAGCCGACCTTTTGAGAACTTGTTTGGATGATTTTTGCTCTTGATCCATCTTGCTTCAGTCCAATCGCCAGAAGCACTCGAAAGATGGTGGCTGTAAGCCTGGACGATTCAGAACCCTCGAGCTTAGCACCGGGCATGGGCTCAGATATCTCACGATCAAAAAAGCAGGAACGTCTTTCGGACCGACGGCGCTCAAGCGGCGTGCTGCGTTAAAGGCTGTTCTATCAGTCACTTTGCAGAGTGGGGATTTGGCCTATACACACCTTGATCACATTCACGGCAGAACCAAAAGCTAACAGTAGGTATGTGTAAAGGGTACCGCAAAATGGCTGGTTGCTTTGATTCTTGTTAACAAAGCCAGAGCAGGGTTATCCCGGATAATCCCCAACAAAAACGCTGCCAGATGCTTTGTGTTTTTGCAGACTATCCTTTTCAGATTCGTTTAGAGGCGAACGCACCATGTTTGGCGCAGGTGGCGTTGGGCATCCCTGTGCCCCGCATGTGGTGCGGGCATCTCGCGCGGCAACAGGAAGCGGAGACGGGTTTGAGTTCCGTTCGTTTGGGTGCGTCTATTTTCCCCCCAAGACGGCTCCTTGTGGGTCCCCTTTGAATACCAGCCAAAAGGGGGTCCACCATTTTGAGGAACTTGCGTTTGGTCCTCACCCGTGCTAAAAAGCACGTAGCAACCAACAAGAACACGAAAAGGGGGTGGGTCAGTCTTTTGACTTTTCTAGGCGCTCGATTTGACACCCAGCTGGTGGCATTGGGGAAGGGTGTGCCCCTGGACTTCCAGCTGTTTGGAGAGGGCTAGTTGGGGGCAACTCGAAGGTGGATCTCGTTTGATGGGTTACCATAGTCCGCACACCAACAAGGGGGGTCTTCCTTGATTGAGGCATGTCTAGCGGGAGAGGAAGCCTTCTTGTTGAGCCACTAACCGGAGCCAATGTTTCTGCAAACCAATGTGAAGCGAAGCCAGGTCTGTGAACTTAGCAGACCTCGACCTGCACAAGCAAAGCCCACCAGCTTGGTCAGCAACTCTGTCCCATTGAAGCCGCACTCAGCAAGATTCTTTTCAATCACTCGCTTGCGGACTTGGATGTTGGACCCGCTGTTTCAGATGGGTATGCAACCCCTTCCCACCCCTTCCAAGCTTGTATTTTTGTGGCTTCCCTTTAAACAAACCAGACCCTCAACAAAAACACTGCCACGGAAAAAATCAACCGAAAGATCAAACGAAAGCAACCATGTTTAAGACTTTCCGCGGCTCAGGCTGATGGCACTGCTTTGTGGAGCACATCCGGCGCAGGCCGGATCGGAGTGGACATGTCTTTCAACCCGGGTTCAAGACTCGCCTTGTTGAGACTGGGGGCATTATTTTGACTGTTTCTGGGGGTCGTTTAACCCACCACTCAGGGGGTGACTTTGATCATGGTAAAATAATGAGGCCAGTGAGAAGAATGGATGACCCACCCCGCAATCACTTGGGGTTCCCCGCACTCACTCTGGCATCACAGAGGGGGAATCATTGTACATTAGGGTGGAGGTTTGGGGGGAACCTCCAAAATGGGCGGTTGCTTTTTGTTTTCACACTTTCTCGAGGTTTGATGGGCTCGTTTTCGACGGGCTGGGTCCGTGCACCCAGAACCCATGGTTGATGATCCATATCGGCTTTGTTTTCCTCCATTTGCTTCTTTATGTTCGCTTGTTATTATAAAAGGGAACCTCTCACTGGAAACATGGTTGTTCTTTTCCAGGGGGCGAAAACGCAAATGGACGTTTTGAGAATGCCAAGCCGGACTCGAGATATGAGCATGGCAACGCCAGCAGGCAGCTTCCACGATTGGAGGGTATAGTGTGCCAGCAGATTTACCCTCTCCCCGTAGAGGGACTGCAATCAAAACCCGGGTAAGTGAAGGATAGTTAAGGGACAGTCCCAACCATAACTAGTTGTGGCCGCCTTCTTAATTCTTTACATGGTTCTGGGTCGAGCATTTCAATACCAGGTTTTGATTGTCACTCAAAATGGCGCAGGGTTTGCTTCCAGGCACCGGTTCTTGAAGCAAACCAAAACCAACAAACCACCCCGCGCAGCGCGCAGCGCGCGGAGGACATGCTGCTGTCCGCGTCCATGCCGGGCAGCACGGACTTGCGGCAGCTGGGCCTGGTGGACGAGATCGTGGAGAAGCCCGGGGCGGGGGCCCTGGGTTCTTCGGTCGGTCGGCCTTCGGGCACCGAGGGATTCGGGGAGCAACCTGAGGCTCGATGCCGGGCCGCCGGGCTGTAGCTTGGAGTTTTTACAGGGAAGAGACACGGATCTCGCGGATCTCTGCATGTGGGTGTGGCTCAAAATTAAACAGGAGGGGTTAATTACGCAGGTCTTGGTCCGTGTTTCCACTTACCAGGGCAAGCCATTTTGGGGTTACCCGGTTTTTGGAGCCACAGCCATAGGCTAGCTAAAAACGCGGAAGCCTCTCCTCACTTTGGGACCCGAGCAGCCGGCCGGCAAGCGGTCGAGAAGAGAGCGAGAGTTCAAGGACTTGATGCCCAGCGCTTTGACCCAGCTGAAGAAGTGGCTCAAGTTCCCCAGCCAGGCGCGCCATGGCGCGGGCCCGACGCGAGAGATGGCGTGGGAAGTGGGGAGGGGAGTGGCACCTCCCATGGTTTGAGGCGCCCCCCACGAAAACCAGAAACACCTCCACACCAGAAAATGTGTTTCATATATAAGTGCGTGAGGGTTGACTTTCAGTCATGGCACTTTCTATCTTTTTTTTGGACATGTAGTATATTTCTATCCGGGGTTGAGATTGAGTTACAAACTAGCTCAATACCCATGGGGTCTCCCCAGCGGTTCTTACAAGGCTTGTTGGACCAATAAATTCATCGCCCAACCCGGGTTTCTGCGGACATGACTTGAGACCTCCCATGTCAACAAGTTCGCATAAAGAGAGTCCCGCCTCAAGCATTTGCCTAGGCACACACTTTCCTTTCGGTGTCGGAATTAGCTATAGTTTAATCTTCACAAAGGTAAGTAGTGTTGGCTCTTAAACATGATTGCTCACAACGATCTGTAAAGCATACAGCTGAGCACGTATTATGTTCGACAATGAATCAACATTGTATGTGAAGCTTCTTGGTGGCATCCTGAATTGCTGAAATGCAGGAAACCAGAACAAAAAAGATGGTGACCGCAAGTTTGGTGGCGAGCTTGAAATGGGCGTATTCGTCGTTGATATGGGTGCGTTTTAAGAAGTAGCCGCTGCAATGGTCGGTTCTCTGGGCCCCTGGGGGTCCACCACTTGGAGAACTTGCCACACTTGGCCAGTGGGCCTTGGATCAAGAACTTGTACACAGTGCTTGCAGACAGTTGAGGGGACATGCAGCTGAGAAGGAGGAACACTGCAGTTGAGCGTTGACCTGTAACGCCGCATTGCCGCGAGAGGCTTATGTTCATATGTATGGTGAATACTTGACAACTATTCTGACATCAACAGGCTGCTGACTGCACCCTTCGTGTTTTTCTTCCCCATTTATTGTTTGATGTCTCATGCGAACTTGGGATGACAGGGATGGTGCAGAGTTGGGTGCATCGGTTCCCTCCGAAGGCTTGGCTGATGTGACTTCCATCGGTCGCAGGAGGTTTGTGTCGGGGCTTGAGGAGCACAAAGCGGCGGTCGGGGTTTGTTGGCATGTCGTTTGGGCAAGGGGCGTCCGAGTGGGCCGTCAAAAGGGCGTCGACCGATGGAACTCCAGCCGAACTGCCGGCATCATCGGGCTGGCTATCATGTTGCTCATGGACAGCCGCGGCAATTTCAAGCTTGACGAAACAATAGAGGCATGTCAAGGGCAAGGGGAAGCGACTACCCCTTGACGCTGGCAATCTCAGGGGTCCGTTTACGAAAGCGGCGCATTGCAAGGTTCCTTGGTGGACCCTGGCAATGTCAGGGGACCTGTTGACATGTCACACCCTTTTATACCCCCAAGTGCAATTGGTTGCAGCACCAACTTGCAATGATTCCGAATTGTTTGGCTGTTTTTCCTCCAAAAAGGGAGGATATACCATAGAAAGCCCCCAATTTACATCAACCAGGATGTGTTGGCGCCCTTTTTCCGCCCCTCCCCCCGTGTAGATCATCCAGGGTGTTGCCATGACCCCTCAGCCGTGGACCCTTCAGCCCTCGCCTTGTCCTTTCGCCAGGGCTTCGTAAAGACCAAGGCCAACATGCGAGGCGGGGGTCGCGAGTTGTTTGGGACTGTCCACATCCTACGCGCAGCCACGCGCCCGGGAATGACCGAGCGCTGAGTGGCTTGCTGAATGTATGGAGGTGCTAAAACCATGGCAGGCGCAATCCCAAGGCGTGCCTCAAGTACACAATCTCCATTGCGCAGGGTTTCCGAGCGGAAGCTCCAAAAGTGGCGAGATGTGGCGAGCGATTCAATGGACACTACAAATGTAAATTGCAACTTGTGAAGGGAAAACCCGGCGACTGTACACAATAGCGCTTCCTGTGCAGACACATCCGCTTTTTTGCGTTGCCGACCGTGCTTCTCCACCTGTGGATTCCTGATCTGGAAAAGGCGAAAAGACTGCAACCAGACTCCACTGTGGCATCCAACGCGCGTTCTTTTTTGGAGGGTACCCGTTTCACCTGGGCGCTCAACGGAAAAACACACTAAACAACACGCATTTTTTCCGGGCTCCCTTGATTGACAAGCCCATGTGGGCGTGTCTCTTTGTTGCAGGTACCCCATTCTTGGTGCTTTTGAAGGAAAGCAATGGAAAGCCAGCAACATACCGTGGATGGACGAAATCCTGGACCACTCTGAAACCAAACCATGAGCAGCCAGTGTCCGTTGGCATTTTTTTCATCCTTCCAGGGTGTCCGTGGATGGTGCAGGATTTGTCCATCCACCGTAGGTGCCAAAAAGGACGAGCCACCCGAGTCTGCGCTTCCTAGAAGCCGCGAGGCACCTTCTGCCAGCGCTGGCGGGATCAAATGGAGGCAGAGGCTGAGGAGGCGACGTGTTGTCACCTTGTAGTGGGACGGCCCGGGGTCCCTTTATTGGCAAAGGGGAACACCATGAGACACCAGCAGTTGGTTCCACACCACCAAGTAGAGGGAAACTATCATGAGGTTCGATTTTGCATCGAAGGCAAAACGCGCATGCGGTCAGGTCTGGAAGGCGGTCAGCGACCCTGCCAGCGTGGCATCGCTGGACGAGGCTCAGGGGGAGTGCACTTATGCGTGGATTTGTCCCAAAGGTTGGTTGAAAATCCCCGGGGATGCCGACGTCAGGTTGAATCTCACAGGCAAAATGAGCAGCTGGTCCACAGAGGCCATGTTTTTTGTTGGCACATCTTTTTCCCTTCAGCAACGCAATCAGGTGGTCCACGGATGCATTTCAACAAAAGGGGGGAGAAAAACAAGGAACAACAAGAAAGAAAATTAAATACATAAAAAAGTCGCACATCTCTTTTTTCCCCTTCAACCGCAAGTTGCAGTTACTGGACCTTTTCCCGTCCAGGCTTGGGCTTTGGCTTCGGTTGCAGGTCCTGAAGCGGCTCGCGGGGGCGGCGAAGCCCAAGGCCAAGCTTTGAGGCGGCGAAGCGGCGAAGCGTCGCGGCGAAGCGGCGTCCGGCGGGGAGGCGAGTCGCCGGGTGGCGGTGGGGTTGGATGCTCTTGGGCCATGGGGCCACTACCAATGTGGTTGTGTTTTGTTTTTGGTTTTTTTTTGACGGCCATTTGGGGGGCTTAGGGACGGCCATGTGGGGCCTTGTTTTGGGGCCTTGTTTTGGGGCAAGAGAATAAGTGGGAGGAGCGCGAGGGCTGTGAGGCGCCCGGTGCGTTTGGCCTGGCATTTGAACGACCAGCCGCTTCCTCAGCTTCCATACGCCTGGCCCCGTGTAGGGCTCAGGTAGGAGGTGGCGTGGCCGAAAAACTTCGCTCGGGCAAAGTCTTTGTGCGGGAGCTTGGGTGTTCAAGCTGGTACCTGGAGTCTCCACGACCCTTACAAAATGGGGTCGTTACCCAAAAAATGAAGGGTCATGGAGACTCCAGGTAGGTCAGAACCACTTGGTAAGGGCACAATGCTCGCTTCATAGAACCATATGCTCACCCATGTGAACTGAACATCCAAGAAGCGGTCTGGATGCTTGGCACTGAGCCCTCCGGTCCTCCGGTTCCGAACTGTCCAGCTTTGTGCTTCGAATGTATCCTGTGGAGGGGCTCAGCACAAGGGTCTAGCAGGTTTCACAGCCCGAGTCTGATGTTTCAAAAGGAGCGCTTTGTCGCGCGAGGCCCCCAGGCGTCCGGCAGACGGCCTCCTGGAAGAACTCCGTAATGCGCCCAAAATATTTTTTCCTAGGGTTTGCGGTTGCCCGGGTCTTTTTCTGGGCGGGTTGAGTTTGATCTGACTGAGGGCATTAAAAACCAAAGGGCGAGAGTTGCAGCGCATTCCTTGCACCTCCGCCGTCTTTGCTCCAAGGAATTCGCGAAGACCGCGGAGCGGTGCAGTGCACGGGAAACGGGAAAAATCCGGAAAAGCAAAAATCGGGATGGGCTGGACCACGCAACGTTCCGAAGGATCGAGATTGGCGACCATTGGGCCCCATCTGCGAAGAATTCTTGTTTCCCTCAGCATGCTTGCCGCTGATTTGGGGCTCTGGCCCCGTCCCTGCAAGACGCACCTTGGCGCCAAAGCACTGATGGTGCGATCCGTTTGGGAAAGGAAGCCAGACGGGAATGGGAATTTTCAGTCTTCCAGACCCTGTATTCAAAAGGAGTCCGATCCTTGAGCGGAGATCCTCTATCAATGGACTGGACATGGGGTAGTTATCTTAAGGAGTGAATATCCAGCGTCTCTGCAGCGTCCACCCTGTCTTTCTCAGGCAGGGATGGCAAGTCACCCCAGCTCTCCGGTGAAGGCGGGCCAACTGGATTCGCTGTGATCCGAATCGTCCGTGGGGCATCCTCTCAACGCCATGTTGCGTTTGGCGGAATATCAACCCTAGTCAAGCCCAAAAGAGGCTTCCAATTTGGGCTCCAAAGTGAAGGATCCAAAAAACTGCAGCTGTCTTGTTTTCAGGTGGACGAAGTTACTCGCAGCTTGAGACGCCATGGAAAACAAAAAGGCTGTTCCAGGCGATGGCCCGAATTGGAATTTTGTTGGTTGTGGAAAATGGGCCCTTGTGATACCAGGGTTGATTATCACTTAAACCCCATTTCAGATTCCCCCCATAGGTCTTTGGATTGGTGGTTTGGTCCCTTTTGGGATTCACTTGTTAACAGCTGATTTGGGCATGTTTTTGTTGTGAATCTGCTCTTGGTTCAGGAACGCCAAAAGGAGACCAATCATTTGGGGGTCTAATTTTGAGACACCCCCATGAGGGTGAGCTTTGAAGTCCTTTTGGGGTTCAATGGAACCCAAGAGGGTCGTAATTGGATATCCTTCAGCAGATCGTTCTCGTGTTTATTTTTCAGAACCCTGTCAAGCAGCTGATGAGTACCACCAGGGAAGCTCACTTGAGCCTGACTTGTTTTTGGGAGGCAAATGCCCGTGACACACCGTTCCGGAAACAGGCGGCTTAATTGACCACCAATTGAGCAGCGCCCCTTTCACCCCATTTGCATTTTTAGTGGGTGATTCTACTAGGTTTTCCAAGGGCTTACAAGGTCCACGCAACCATGTATCTCTATCTAAGTAGCACATCCCCACCACTTAAAAAATGGCATTGGGGAGGCAGGCACCCCCTAGAATTCTATTCATGGTAACCCCTGTTCCTGTCTTTTGTGGGAAGAGAGATGGAATTGGGGAATTACTACCCTTCTCCCTCAGAAGGCAGGGGGGATAAATAGAAATTCCAAGTTGTACAGGGGGTTTTGGGCGCTCGATTGGAGGTCTCCCACCCACCCACCCACCCACCCGCCCCCGCCCGCCCGCCCCCCCGCCCGCCCGCCCGCCCGCCCGCCCGGCCGCCCCCCCGCCCGCCCGCCCACCTACCCATCCACCTACCCACCCACCCACCCACCCACCCACCCACCCACCCGCCGCCCACCCCCCCGACTGTTTTTGTCTCGCTTCTCACGGGAATGCCAGGACGAGAGCGAGGCCTCCGCACGAGTGGTGTGCACCCCGGGCCGCGCCCGGCCCAGCAGCCACCGCAGCAGGACTTGGATGCTTTTTCTGGGGGTTTGGGGCAGCGTGGTGGAGGCGAAATGAGGAGCCAACAGGCTGGAAAGGGTCTAAACAATTAACACGTGTATATAGTATATCTAGACTTACGTATGCATTTACACATGTATATATATATATATGATTAACAACGGGGTGGCTTCCAGACAATTGCCCCAAGATGGTTTGGTTCTCTTGGCCACTTTCCAAGACGGTCTTGGGGTGCGAAAGGCTTTGTTGGACCACTTAGAAGCCTTGTGGTTGAGTTCCTTTGTGACCATAGCTTTGAACACGCAAGTGGTTGGCGTTGTCTCAAGATCAGGGGACGCAACCCCGGAGGGGTGCACAAAAAAAAGCACGCACAACAAGATTATTCCAACCAAAAGGGAGCCAAAAGGAGGATAGATGATTGAGTGTCCTTTTTTAGGTTAGTAGATGGGTTGCACTGGTTAGGATTCGTCTGATGTCTTATTTGCTAGGAGCACTTATCTATTTTACAAGGACCTATGGATCAATTTCTGAGTCAAGTTTCCAGATCCTACTGTCTTATTTGGTTGCGTTTCCCTGCCAGGAGTAGCCGCAGCCAGCTGGCAGGGGTGCCTAGTGGGGTTTTCAACTTGGTGTCGCTCCCCATCCGAAGCCTGGTTTGATTTCTTCCCTTTGGAGTTTTGGATTGTGTGTTTGCTTTCTCGAGAGAGGGGACCAAACGAGTCCGATGTTGCTCAAGTTCGAGTTCGTCGATTGGCGGAGGAAGGTTATATGTGTTTTGGTTGTTTGGTCTTGCTGTTGGCGGAGGCACTTCCAAAAACAAGCACGGTCTGCGCGTTGCAAGCCGCGGCCGTATGAGGTGAAGCAGAAGTTTCGAGTCGCCTTCCGGTTCTCTCCGCCGGGCATGGGGGTGGGCGAGCCGAGAGTGGCCCGTTCATTTGGTCCCCCAAAATCCGTCCCAATAGTCGCCACTTGGCAATGGCTTCCCAATGGCTCCTCAATCAGTTGATTGAAAGCAGGCATTTGCATTGGGAAGGCCAGGGCACCGCTTTACCATTCACAGCTGAACTGAGCTGTGCTCAGTTCAGTTGGGCGAGTCAAGCGGTTGGAATCAATGGAAACCTCAACACCTACCCTCCCTCCAGCCATCATGGAAGCTGACGATAGGATGGCTTGACCTTGGAAGGCGACTTTCCTTTCACCAAAGCCTCCCTGTCCACTTCCATGATTGTTGGAAAGCAGTGTACCAGCTTCTTTTCAGTGCCCTCAATTCATTTTTTTGGTGCTATGATCAATTTTGAAGATAGGGGCACTAAAACTATGCTGGCATTTTTCGTCGCAGCCTCCTTTTGTTCCAACAGCTTTTCCCCACCCCCACACACTGCTTGGCACGCGCACCGGCATTCCTTCGGGCCAACCATTTCGTGGGGGATTGCTTCGCATGACAAGCAGGGCGACCACAGGGCAGGGTGAGAGTACCCGAGCAGCTGATGCGAATGAAGGCGGAGCCCCGAAAAAAGCCCCTGGAGCCTTCCGGTGCGATGAGGGTGGCGAACGGTATGCAAGTACCACCAAAAGAATCGTTTGGGGGATTTCCGGATTTCCCGTTTGGAGACTTACTCAGGGGTGGATTTGTTGGATGGGGTGGAGTTGGGGGTGGATGGTATTGTTGGGTGGATGGGGTGGGGTCCATGGCAGTGGAGGTGGACCCAATCGAATTCTCCTGAAGAGTTTGGATGCCCGTTTGGGGTTCCCTGCAGGTAGCCCAATCGAATCTACCCCATCCATCGAGCCCGTCGCGTCACGCCGCGTGCCGAGGGCGACGGCCCAGCGCGGCCGAGCAGCGCTCAGGCCGCGCGGCGCCGGGAGCCGGGAGCCCTATGGGCTCGTAGGAGTTTTATGGTAGGACTCACCCGACGCCCGGGGGGGTGGATACTGTGGATGGACAAAATCCTCCAAGAAGGAACCGCTGGAAGGATGATTCCCATGTAAAGACCAACGAACAACGGTTTCCGTCATTTCAAAATAATGCAGGAACTCGTCCATCCAGAGTATGTTTTACTACAAGGCTCTAGTGTTCTAAGCATTTGTGGCGTTCGTTTGGTGCCAACTACCCTCCTGTCCACTGACATGCCGCCGCCCAAGGCTGCAGTGCTTGGAAGCTGTTCTACGGAGGCTGGTTTGGTGCGGGACTGTGGCTTTTTTGTTGGGATCTGTTTAGGGCATGCAGGAGCTAGGGGGCGGCTGGGGGGCGGGGAGTGGCCCTTGTTAAGCCCTTTGCTGGCCTTATTTGAGGCTCCCTCCCTCCCCCCCCAACCCCCATGAGAAGCGCAGGCCAAGATCTCACGAAAGTCGCGGCTTTCACTTTCGTGACATGCCCGCAAGGCAGCTCCAAGTCAAGCCGTTGGCCAATCCAGCGGCCGTTCAACTATTGCCAAGCTTGGCGGCGGAGACGCTTTTGAACATGTTTTTTCCATGGTTTTTCAAACCCTCAAGCCACCACTTCCAGTTGCTGAAATGAATATGTTTTATTTTCCCCTGCCCAGATGCTCGAGGGGGTGTGCAATGCACACCCCGGCCCTGTGCATAGCACACCCCGTGGCTTGCATGCCAAACTGTGGGGTGTCAGGGGTCTTCGCTATTTTTTGGGGGGTGTCACCAGGACACCCCGAAGGCTGAAGTCTATGTTGATTCTGTCTAACGCGTCACAGGCCCTGCAGCTACTTGCATGCAGCACGGCCAGTTCGTCGAATCTGCTGAACATCAGGTTTTCACGGTTTTCATGGGCTGACTGCTGAGGACAACCCTGCATCATTGACGTGTCAATGTTGAGGCTTGATCCAGGAGCTGGTTTGCTTTTTGATGGTTGTGTTTCTCACCCTTTGCTGGCTGCAATTGAATGGTTTGCCAAACTCTCCTAAATCCGTAAATCTTGGGGCAGTTGCTAGACAAACGCAGTGCGAAGCAGCTCAGCGGCGCTATGAAGCACAACCAGACCAAGCCGCAGAAGCGGACATACGGCCGAGGTGATGGCCCGTAGGTTGATAATGCTTCAGTAGCTGCTAGGTGCAATCACTGTGCAGGGCAGGTTCGACAGAGCAGGCTCAGCAAGCCCCAGCCGATCTGGCTCTAAGACTAGTCTCCACTTGGGCTTTCCAGCTCGCCTTTCCGAAGGGTTGTGGAGGCCTTCGACCTTCATGGGCAACGAAACGGACATGAGCTTGTGCTCTTTTACGAAAACATTGCGAAACATCAAACACCACCTGCTTTTGCTTCCTGTTGCAGGGGTGCATCATCACGGGTCGAAAACAGGATGCTCACACCTGGTAAGAGTCCAAGAGAGGCCACAGCAAAGCCGAGGTGCCCACACATTTCAATCTGAAGCGGTTCAATCACAAAGTAGGAGCCGCCAGTGGCACTTGTAGCCTTTTCAGTCCAATCCAACTTGACCCCCCACCGTTGCACGCAATCTGGTTGCAGAATGTCTACCTGCAGGGGCGCGCGCGTGAAAACAAGGCGTGAAGCGGAATAGAGTGTTGGCGGCGTTTCTGAACCAGAACCCTCTCCAGCATTTACCACCAAAAACATGTTGAACTGTCAGACGCACAGCTCTTTGCATGTGAGCTGGGGGCTTGGACAAGCGGTCGCAAGCGCGATGTTTTGACTCTACTGCGTGTTGCTGCCCCATTGTTTTGAAGCGTTCAGCAGGTTTCCGTCTACCAACGCCCGTGTTAGTCAAATCATGTACGGGTTGGAGATTCTGTTTCTGCAAAGCTCTACAAAGGGCGACATCCTATGGCAACACGTCAAACATCATAGTCCCCAAGTCTCAAGTCAAAAAGATCGTGCCAAAGTTTTTTCATAAACTGCACTCGAGCTTCAAGTGCCCCAATAGGATCCAGCGGGTTGTAACGGGCTCGGGAACTCCAGCACCAGAATCCGACAGAATCCGTCGGAATCCGACGGAATCCGACGCTCGGGGCGTCAAGTCTCCGACACCCCCTGACCCGAATCCGACGGAATCCGACGGAATCGCTTGGGGCGTCGATGCTCTTTTAGTTTCGACACCCCCTCCACCGCCAATCCGACGAAATCTGACGTCCGACGCCCCAAGCAATTCCGTCGGATTCCGTCGGATTGGGGTCAGGGGGTGTCGAAACTAGGAGATTTGACGCCCCGACCGTCGGATTCCGTCGGATTCCGTCGGATTCTCTCGGATTCTGGTGCGGGGGGTCCCGAGCCCGCGCGTCACAACCCGCTGGATCCTATTGGGGCACTTGAAGCTCCAGTGCAGTTTATGAAAAAACTTTGGCACGATCTTTTTGATTTGAGACTTTGGGGCTATGATGTTTGACGTGTTGCCATAGGATGTCGCCCTTTGTAGGGCTTTGCAGAAACAGAATCTCCAACCCGTACATGATTTGACTAACACGGGCGTTGGTAGACGGAGACCTGCTGAACGCTTCAAAACAATGGGGCAGCAACACGCAGTAGAGTCAAAACATCGCGCTTGCGACCGCTTGTCCAAGCCCCCAGCTCACATGCAAAGAGCTGTGCGTCTGACAGTTCAACATGTTTTTGGTGGTAAATGCTGGAGAGGGTTCTGGTTTCAGAAACGCCGCCAACACTCTATTCCGCTTCACGCCTTGTGTTCACGTGCGCGCGCCTGCAGGTAGGAATTCTGCAACCAGATTGTGTGCAACGGTGGGGGGTCAAATTGGATTGGACTGAAAGGCTACAAGTGCCACTGGCGGCTCCTACTTTGTGATTGAACCGCTTCAGATTGAAATGTGTGGGCACCTCGGCTTTGCTGTGGCCTCTCTTGGACTCTTACCAGGTGTGAGCATCCTGTTTTCGACCCGTGATGATGCACCCCTGCAACAGGAAGCAAAAGCAGGTGGTGTTTGATGTTTCGCAATGTTTTCGTAAAAGAGCGTTGCCCATGAAGGCCGAAGGCCTCCACAACCCTTCGGAAAGGCGAGCTGGAAAGCCCAAGTGGAGACTAGTCTTAGAGCCAGATCGGCTGGGGCTTGCTGAGCCTGCTCTGCCATTGTGCGCGCAGCAGGGCAGTGGGTTGAACTGGCGTCATCAGTGCTCAAGGAAAGGTCCGGCTGGGTTGCGTCCAGCAGCTTGTGAGGCATTAGCAACCTATGTGGCTGTCAGGTTGGCTGACAAAAGCGCAGTAATTGCCACCTCCAGGTTTCTTGCCCGTATGGCTGCTTCGCACAGCTTTTGTCGGTTCGCAGTTGCCTTCTAACAAAGTTTGGGGTTGTAGGGGAGCGGGGAAAACATTTCTGAGTTTGGAATTCCACGGCACGCAAATACACAAGCGCATGTGGAAACGCGAACCATCAAAAACCGGCCCAGCTCCCTGATCAAGCCTGACATTGACATGTCAAGGACGCAGGGTTGTCCTCAGCAGCTAGCCCATGGAAATCTGATGCAGCAGATAGCCCTGACCAGTGGCGCCTTGATCCATAGTGGGCAGCCATTAGACGACTAGCCTTCGAAACGTCCTGGTGACATTCCTTCAGAATCCTTAAAGACCCCTGCCGCAATTTTGCAGGCTAGCGATGGGGTGCTGTTTGCGCACTGCAAACCCCTCGTGCAAACTGGGAAGTGAGTGAACTCAGAAACGGCGCCCCGATCATTCACTTGACGCCCCGCGACGCCCCGCGACGCCCCGCGACACCCCGACGCCCCAAAATCAAATCGTGAGCGTCTGGGTGGTGGTTTTAGGAATCCATCACGAGTTCACTTCGGGGCATATGTTCTCATTTTTCCTGGGGACTCTACTGCAAATGGAGGACCACTGTCTTTGGGGGGGAATCCTTTTGGCTTCCCTTTAAAGAGGGCCATGGTCTGCCTGGCTCGTGGTTGTGGAAGTCAGTCTTGCCGTTATGCCAATACGTATGATTCTCATTTACTACGTGATCACTTTGAAAGGGTTTTGGGTTTCCCTTGGTACAGTCAATGGGAATCAAGCCCCAAAGCCCGATTCCTGGAAGTACCACAGCCCCAAATTGGAATACCTTGCGTTTCCCTACTTTGTGCGCCACGAATTGAATGGGGAATCGAATCATTCCGGGGTCCCATTGTTACGTTGGGGAATCGAAAACACTTCTGTTGTGTTGCTGAAGTCATCCCCCCCTTGTAAATGGAATTGGGGGAGGGGGGTGAAGAATTGGAATTCCATGTTTGGTTCCATTTTCTCCTTTGTGGGGAAGACTCACATGGAATTGAGGGACCCCCCACCCCACCCCTCCCCCAGGTAGGGGGGATCTGCAGTCGCGTGCCGGCGGATGTCGCCAAAGCCTTGCAGGAACTGCCCCCAGGAGGGCCGGGCGGCGGCGTACCTGCGCCGCGCCGGGCCGGAAGGTGGCGGCCAGGAAACGGGACATGGGGGGAGTGACGTGGAGGTGGGGTTCCCTTGTTCCCTTGAAATCCGATCAGGGGAAGGGGAAGCCATGAATATCGCGACAGCGCGGATTCCTTGGGTTGATGAGCCGTTTTTCTGTTTGCAACCTGATTTGTTTTGCGGGAACTTGGCGGACAACCAAGCGGTGACTAGGGAGCGACTCCGACTACAACTAGGTCCCCAGTAGTGCCCTTTTACCCTGTTTTGGGGGAGGGTTCCCCTAAAATAGACTACAGAGAAAGTTGGTACCAACTTATATTCTATCCTCTCTACTGTACTAAAACAGACGAGTCAGAAACGAATCGGGTACCCTTTCTAACCTCTCAAATCTGGAGGACCTAGATAACCCACTCCGCGTTTGTCGGAGGAGCGGATCTTCTGCTTCGATGGGCCAGACGAACATATCCGGAAGGCTCTGCTCGCCCAAAAGTCCTGGGTGGAGAACGAGGCGTCGGGTGGAGGGGTGGGGGGGTGGGGGGGTGGAGGGGGTGGAGGGGGAGGAGGGGATGGAGGGGGAGGAGGGGGTGGAGGGGGAGGAGGGGCAAAAGCCTCCGCAAGGCCCGTGCAAGAAACGTGATGAACCATCTCACTTCTGGACCGTGCCAGGGCATACCAGGGCAACAGAAGTTAGAGTCAACCCGAACAGGTTCAGGACCTTGCGCTAGCGTTCTGATATGGCACCTCCAGAAGAAACGCGCAGAAGTCAACACATGTCAACACACTGCTTGGTGCTGCCCTCTTGCCGATGCGATGGCGAGGTTTGGCCTCCCAAACCCCAAGGGCCCCACGAATGACATCCACTTTGCCAGAGTCTGTCTGGAAGCAGCGCATTGGTTGACTGGTCATGCTTTCAGCTTCTGTCCCAGTGGCGATCCCAAGCAAAATGGCGGTTTTTGACCCTTGTTCATGCAGATCGTTGTCTGATAGAGACCACAAATAAGACACTGCTAGATGCACTTCTCTCCTAAAAACCACCAGGTCCTCCCAGCGACGAGGGGAAGGAGCTCAAAGGGTTGCAGCTCATCCGCTCCCCTCTCCCGCGCGGAGGTCGCCACCTCCACGATCTTCCACTTGAAATGGACGGTGTCGGACAGCGCGGCCGACTACAGCGGCCTGGCCTGCGGAAAGAACATCCGTGGGACCGTGGGGGTGGGAAATTGGACGATTCCGCGAAGTTTGGACCTGTGTTTTCTTGAGGGGGGCATATACTTTTTAGGTTTAGCATTTTGGAAAGTCTGAAGCCGTATTTTAACACATCATCAAGGGAACCTGACTGGGTGCTGCAAGGGCCCCCCTCTTTGCTAAAGGGAGCCTCCCGTGGCACCGAAAGGTAAGCATTTTAGCGGATTCCGTCTGAATTGGGACATGCCCTTGACCTGTCGCCTGGTTTTCCTTGGCAGGCCAGATCCAGGAGGGCTCACTCTTCAATCACTTCCAGCACAACCGAGAGTTGACCACCAAAGTGGGCCTCATGAACAACCTGCGCAGGCCGGGGTGGGGTTCCGGTTGCGGAGCTTTCTTACAGCTCTTCGAACCGCACAGTTGAACGGTGAAAGGAAACAAGGAGAAAAGGAAAGGAACCACACCAACAGTGGTGGGTTCCCATTGGAAACACAGAAAGTGGGGAGTCACACTGGGTGGAAAAGAAACATGAGCCAAGAAGCCAAGGAATCCAGCGATAGCCCTCCTCGCCTTTGGGATTGCGCAAAGGAAAAGTTCACTTGAGCAATGAACAGTTCACTTGTGGAGCTGAAGAGCTTCAGGCCCTCCATTGAACCCACTTTTGTTTGGTAGCTTGGGAGGGGGGGCAGTTTGCATTAGAGCCCAAGGACCACTCGGTGGACGGTGCCTATGTTGCCTTGCCGGTTTAGATATCACTCTGGAGCCATTGCGGCTGATTTTCCTCTTGACGAAGGGGGAAGGATCGGAGCCCTGATGTTGGGCGATAGGTTTCGAGCGCCGATTTTCGCTCCCGGCGAACGGCAGGTTTGCCTGCGGGGCGCAGGTTGACGTGGACGACTTCTTCCCACGCTCCTACGCGCCGCGGTTCAACGGGAGGGATAAGGTATCAGTCGGAGCCTCCTGAAAACGAAAGCGGGAGATCTCCTAGAAATCTGAATAACGTAGGGTGTGATCGAATAGGCTGGCCCGATTCTGTAACAATCGCAGACGTCACCCCTTGTGTCTGTGGCAGGTCAAAGGAAGACCTTGACAACCCACACGACACCTCGCTTTGCTTGTTTTTCGACGCCCAAAAAGGCGACCTGGATCCAGGCTGGTTGCTTTTTTGCGCCCATCTCGGAGTCCTTGGGCCCGGGACTTGAGTCAAGGCCGCCGGACCCGTCTAGCGAAAAGCTGCGCTTGGTTGGATTCGGCCGGCGGTTGTTGTTTCACACCATGGCCACTTGGACACTTTTGGACTTTAACTTTTCTTGCTGAAACAGGCCGGATTTTCTTGTTGAACCCACAACAAGCGAAACTCAAAAACTCAAACACTCACTTGTTGCAGAGGGGGCGTTGCAGCAACCAAATTCCCATTTACTTAAGAATTCGTCTTATGTTTCCCTGTTGGTTAACCTTTCATTTCCAGGTCCTTTGGGCAAGTGAGACAAAAGACAAAAATCATTTGGAACCGCAGGACATGAGCTCTGCCAGCGATGTCCAGGACTCGATGCCCGCAATGGCCAAGCCTTGCTTCGCGCCCTTTCTGCTTCACCTCGCGTGTTTGTAATAAGTTGGGTATGGGTCATCATTAAACCACCAGGATATGGACCGCAGGTTTTAGGTCGTCCTTGGTCCACTTACCAGGGCACCTCATTTTAGTACCTATTTTGACCCACAGCCATTTGCAGCGGATGCACCAAAATGATAAACCACCTCAGGGCAGAGAAGGTGTGTTTCCACGTAAAAGCTGATGGCTGGGCATGGAAGGCACTAGACTTCAAGGGGAAGTCAGCTAGACTTCAACGCCACGGCGGGATTTTGAATTTCCTTGCGCTGGTGAGATCGTGGATCCAAAGCTCAAACGACCCTGGAAAGGTGGAGAGTGGACAAGGTACTCAGGGAAAATTCTAGACGCTGCTAAAGGAAGCGTTGAGAGATTGAGCTTTGTTTTTTTTTGCCACCCGACAGGAAGGGGTTGTTAGATTTTATGTTGGAATCCGCGTTTGCGATGCTTCTACACCACGGCCCCCAGTATCCCGCCATAGCAGCTGAGCATCCCAATATCCTAGCCAGCGGATCCCGCCGCCGAGTATCCGGCCAGTATCAAGCCGGAGCGGCTCGCCAGCATTCGCCAGTGGATCCCGCCAGTATCCCGCCAGAGCAGCTCGCCCGTCTGGTTTTGCTTAATGTCCAAAAGGGCCGATGGGAGTTTTAGAGTCGAAGTCTCTAGGATGTGGAGGAACTTGTTGTAACGGTCGTAAGCTCGTGAGTGTGGAGGGTGGGGATTGCTCGAAGCGAAGTAATGTGGCTTGTTCTTTTGGGCCTCCCCAAGGGTTTGTTGTTTGGATTCTCTGCAGGCCTACCCATTTTTGATACTAGGCAGACTTAAACCCAGGGATGTTTGATTTCCCAAAGAAGGGATGCCCTGGGATTACCCCGAAAATCCCTTGAAAAGGGTCTGCCACAAGGCTTCATGTTTTTTGTCACCTGCGCGCCTTGGGGCTATTGCCATCGGCTGCCACAAGGCTTCATGTGGACTATGTGACCGGAAGGCCAGGTCTGTCCATCCAAAAAACCGTCCGGCGCTGCCCGCGCGAAGCTCTTTGAGCGCGCAGGACTTCGTGCTGGACTTCCGGCGGTGCGGGGCCCTCAACGTGCTGCGGCAGCACTTGCGGCTCAACACCTGGGCCAAAGAGCGGCAGAGGCGGGCTGCCAAGAGTTCAAGATTTGCTCCAAAGGTGTGGGCTCACTCTGGCCACGGCAATTAGTTGTTGAGGGCACCCTCTTAAAAACACATAGCAAAACCAAAAAACAAAAAACGCTTGAAATCCAAGCAAGCATCATTATTTGGGGCTTTGACACATGCTGTTCTTGCAGGCTCCACCAGAAGGGTTGAGAGGTGCCGGGAAAAAAAGGCTCAGCCTGCCTTTTGGCATGTTTAGCCCGGGCAATCCAGAAAAGAGCCTTTAGACGAACCAAGGAAGCCAAGCAATGCTGCGAACCTAAAGCCTGAAAAGGCCAAGCTGGACATGCGACTCCAGGGCTTTTCCTCGCAAGCGTTGCGCGCGTAAGCGCGGCGGATTCCTGGCCATCGAGAAGGTTCACTGGTTTGTGCCGAGGGTCAAGGGCGTCCGGGAGTCCAGCCCGGAAGGCAGTGGACGGTTTCCTGACAGAGCTTGACGGGATGGTCAAAGAGCGCAGCGTTGTTGGGAGGGCGAGTTTGGGCATATTTTGCGCAGCCATTTTTTACCTGACGGCACATGCGTGAGGGTTGTCGCAGTTGGTTGGCTTCTGGCCCCAGCTGGCATTTGGATTCAAAACTTCCCCTGCCATTGATCGAACCATTGGCTTGGCAATGCTGAGCTTATGTCCCCTAAACCCTGAACCCTAAACCTAAACCCCAGAACTTTGCAGCTTTCCGTACCTGTGTCCCTCGCTTTTCGTAATTCAAAGCCGAGGGCCGAAGGGGGATCGCTAGCGCAGGCTCTTGGCCGCCGTGAATTTCGAGGCGGAGGGCGGGTACCTCTGCAACGTGAACGTGCTCAGGCCGGGCCTTGGATGATGGCAGGGTTGATCCAATTTGGTGGTCAAAAGCAACATTGCTGCTTGCCCTGTCTTTATGTTAACCCCGGATTAATAAACCCCTGGTTGATTAATAGGGGGGTGTCCCTTTCAGTGGGGATTCATCACTTTTGGAGGGAACACCCCCCTAATAATGGGACGGGTTTATGAATCCTGGGTCGACACCGCTGGCCCAGGCATTTCCCTCTTTTTCGCGACGACTGACGGGTCGCGTCAGGCTGGCGGTGAAAGCCTTGGTGCACTGGCTGGAGGATCTCGACAGCTCCTTCTTGGAGGCCCTGTGCGACGCAAATGAGCTGCTCATGGGCTCTGAACTTGCCGTTTTGACGTGCTCCTTCTTTGCACATCTCCCGGCGCAATCCTTGCTTCGATCCATACCCGTTTTTGTGCTCCTTTGTTGTGCCTTTCAGCTGGCACAACGTTAACTTTTGCAGGGGGTGTGGATGTAAAACAAAAACGAGAACCTATGAAGGTCCCCTACTTCGAATGCAAATTAGGTCTGTTTCGGCAGTATGTTGTGTGGTTCTGCACTTCGGCAGCTCGGTGGCACAGCGATTTATTTTGAGCGTGACAAGACGGATTGTGACACTTGGCCTTCTCTTACACATAGGTACGGTGAGACGCTTTGCATGGAAACACCAAGCGCTGAATCGCCCAGCTATGAGTCCTACCAGCATGGCATTCATGCGCGGACATGCACATGCCGGGCATTGGCAGTTTCGTCACTAGCTCACTGGCATGGGCCTCGGTGTTTCTTTCCGTCACCCCTTCATGTGGGCAGGAGGAGGGGCGTCACCCACAACGGCGGCATTTGTTTCGTGAGGACTGACTGGCACAGTGGATTCGCGCGACTTTCAAGTGCCAGCTCGATAGACACACACCAATTTGTTAAGGCGGGATGTTCATGAGCGTTATGTCCAAACGTGGCCCAACCAACCCCCTTGCTCAAATGAATGTCATAGGCACACGATGCATCCCTGGGTTCAGCCCATGAGAAAGGAGGAGCAGTAAACCAAAAGGAGGGAGTTGTGCCATCTACTCTCACACAACTCTACATGGTCGCTTTGAGAGTGGGTTCATTTCCAAATCCACTCAGCTGCTGCTGCAAGTGGAAGGGGGAAACAAGCGAAAATTGGTTGCGCAACTGGGTCAGGTGGTTGATCCCCAGATGATGTTTCCATGTGTGGCATGAAACTCCAAACAGGTATTCCGGGAATCCTTCCTCTACAACTGGGGGGCAGTTTAGGGCTTCCATGTGGCTGGGCAGAGAACAAGCTCACATTTTGTTGGGGTGACACAAGCTAAACCGCGAATGTTTCTTACTTGGGGATTCCTTAAAAACAAGTTGTTGAATTCCAGGGAAGGTTTCGCCTGTGAAACCAGGTCTCGGTGAATTTCCGAGAAGGTCTCTCCCTCAGTACTGTTCCTGGCGTTACCTGGGTAAATGAATCTGGGTTGCCTTGGCTGGAGACATAGTTGGCCTTTTCCAGAACCCTGATCCTGCAGCTGCGTGGCAATACATGCTCTCTGGCATGTTGGGCTTCCTCTCTCTGGGCGGAATGCACGAATCTTCCATTTGCTGACATGGCCGAGCTTTATGGCTATGTGGCAACGGATCTTTGGACTTTTATACTTTTGGTCGAAGCAGGTGGGGGGATTTCCAAATCGTACCCACCAGTGAAGCTCGGCGACCCTGGCTATAGCCCACACAGAGACGTACGGCTCTGGTGGGTTGTCCAGTCCTGGGTTACTTCTGTGAACTCAGCCTAAGTGGCCTGGGTTCAACTCCCTGCCTGAGCTGGACTTTACCCTCCCACACATGGAAGTGCAAAAAGGCCAACACACATCAAGAGGAAAGCCGTCTTTCAGGCGTCCGTGCTGGGAGGGCAGCCACGTTTTGGGTTTGGAGCATTTCTGTGGTCAACGAAAAGTTTTTTTCGCCTTCTTTCCAACGAACAGCGCCTGGAGCTGATCCTCCAGTACTCTCCAAGGTACTTGGTTTAGGCCAACCCAATCAAAGGAGTCGGAAAAAAAGACATGCAGTTTTAGGGGTAAACCAGTGGTAAACCAGTAGTTTGGCTTGTCTTGTTTGGGGCAGAAAGCCCACTCGATGGGAAGTGCGTCTCAAGACTTGCAGGTGCTCAGGGAATGTGAGGGGCATCCCATGCAACGAAAATCCCCTGCATCTCTCGCACTCATCGCGAGAGAATGGCCCCGAGCAAACCCGCCGGCCCGCCGCTTGTGAGGAGTGTAACATGAGAGGCGCCATTCCAGGAGTCGAGGAATGGTACTTGTTTTTGGCGATTGGCCACGCAGTGGGCGTCAAAATGGCCCCTTCGCTTCCCCCGACCAAAACCCGAAAACCCGCCAACCCGCCGGCCGCCGCGTGAGGAGTGGGACGCCCTGGTGCTCTACTCCCAGCTCTCGGACGCCCAGCTCTGCGGCGATGAGGAGCCGGTGAGCCGGCGCCCCCGCCGCGCGGGCCCCGAAATGGACAAAACATGGAGGCCGGTGGGTACCTTGGAGGGTTCCCCTACTAGAATAGACTACCGAAAGGAGGGCCAATTTTCTTCGTGGCATACAAGCTGCCGAGAAAAAAAAAGAACAAAAAAGGCGGGGGGGGGGGGGAAGTGGGGGGGGGGGGGAAAAACGAGAAAACCAAAACGACAAACCCTTGAAATCAAATCCCTTTCTGATTGTGGGAACCTCCATTTGGTTGCTGTTTGGAACAGCAAAAGGAAGCCAACTGGACAACTGGACAGTCAACGGTTGAACTGCTCCCCCCACCGCATCAAGGAATCAAGTATGGTTGTTTGTGCCAGGCTCGCACCCACTCCTTTGAAAGAAAGGAAACCAAGCAGTTGTTGGGGGGTCCTTCCATCTGCCTTTTTGGTGATTTTAGACATACCTGTTTTGCCCAGGAAAGGTGAGTGTCTCTTGGTGGGGGTGATGTTTTACTGGGAAATCTGGGGAGCCCTGTTGTTGGGGCCCCCGAAATCTTGAGAAGGCGAGCTTCCCCCTTCCAAAAACATTGTGTTGGAAGGGGGTATCCCCGGGGGTGTTGGACCTGGGAATCCCGAAGATGTCAACCCTCGTTGAAAAAAGTTTAGCTTACCCAAATCCAACCTTATGACCTCTTAGTGTATACTGTTTGGTCTACGTTTAGTAAAAGTCTCAAACAGTTAAGCTGTGACTTCCCGGTCCTTTCTAGATGACCCGCGAATTTATGCTGGTCAACCGTCAAGGACGTGGCCAAGCCCTCCCTCCCCCTCCCTCCCTCCCTCCCTCCCTCCCTCCCTCCCTCCCACCCTCCCTCCCTCCCTCCCTCCCCTCCCTCCCTCCCTCCCTCCCTCCCTCCCTTCCAAAAAGATCAAAATGAACAAAAAAGACGAAACCACCAGACAAACAGTGATCACAGAAGCCAAAGCCAAAAGTGAGAAAGAGCCAAAACGCCGCAAATCCGCGAGAACCCCCCCCCTTCCCTGGCCCCTCCCTGGCAGCTCCGCAGCTCTCGCGCTGAGGCGGGTACTCGGCCTCCGGGGTTCTGCTGGAGCCCTCAGAGACCGAGCAACGGGAGAGGCCACTGGCGGTGCAGCAGTGGGTGGAGCGCCTTGAGCCGACCGATTTAGGTCGCTGTTATGTGGCTGTGGCTCAAATAAATGTACCAAAATGACACCTTGGCAAATGGAGCCAAAGACGAAACCCTGTGTAACCCTAGCTCTTTACTTTTAAGCCACACCCCATGTGAACTTGCTCCCTGAGTTCCGTTTCGGACTTTAGTCACTTTTTGGATTTGGACCATGTGGGTGGCAGACGAACAGTTTGGTTACTGTTTTTGCCGATCCACTCAGGAAGTGAGTGAGAAAAAAGGGGGGGACCAACTTGGAGGGTCTCCTGTACAGTGACCATTGCTCAGGGAAGTGGTTTGGGGGGTTTGGAACAAGTGATGAAGCTTCCCATCACTTTTGGCTTTCCTGAGGACTTGTGGCTCGAACGCATAAACCAACTTCACCAGAACCAAGTTGGACTAAAGACTCACTTTGAATGATTTGCAACCGCACCCCCGAAACAAAAGAAGGAGACAAAACATCAGCCAAAAAGGCGGCGTTTCCACCCGGAAAGGGGGCCCAATTGAAAAAAAGGGCCCAAGAGGGTCTCCATGCTTGTACTTCAGCTCTTCTTTTTGTACCCAGTGCTTCCAGGCGTTTCGCAACTTTAGGAAGAAAGCCGCCCTTTAAGCACCAGGAAAGCGGCGGAGGGTGACCTGCTCAAGTGTTGCTCGGTGTTTTTTTCTGGCTCGATCGAGGTTCCAGGACCATTTCTGGGGCGAGGCGCCCCAAGATCTGCAGAACAGCGCCGAGACGGTGCTCGCCATCCTGAAGGCCGGGGGCGGTTAAAATGCGTGGAACTTAGTGGCTCCCAGCCACCCCCTTAGATTGTTACAGCTTTTTGAGGTTTAGTGTGGTTTAGTGTGGTTTAGTGTGGTTTAGTGGTAGTTTCCACTGAACCACTACCAGTTAATTGGTGGTCTGAAGAACGAACTTTGTCGGTTTCTTGGTTGCTGATCGGTTGGATCGTTGGAAATTTACTTTTTGGGAAACAGTGGATTTTCCATTGGGTTAAGCTTTTTTGCAGATGGGTCAACAGCAACCAAGTTCCCATTTGCTGAAGAATATGTTTTATGTTCCCTTGCTTGTATTAAAGGACATCTATCACAGGAGTATGAGGAGAGATAAATAATTATTTTCTTCGTGGTGTGCGCGGTTTTCCTTTGGCCGACTACCATATATGTCCCTCTTGGTTCTGGCCCAAGAGGGCGGGGACAGAACCTCTCTGGGATGGTTAAGCCAAAAGAAAAGCAAGCGGCTGGATGGGGTGAATCCTCATTGACCACCTGGAACTTATGAAAGTTGATCCTGGGCAACGCTACGGGTTCTCAGAACCCGCCAGTTGCCCCTCCATTGGCGGCCCGACACTCTTGGGTTTTTGGAGGTGCCAACCAGCTACCCCTCCTTTTGTGTGGTGACTTGGTGCATTGAATGATTACCTCAGTTCAAATTCCAGTCACTTGCCAGTGAGTGTTTCTGGTGCCAAGGTTGGTCGATGGTTTCGGGCTTGACCTCGGATAGTTTGGGACTTCAGGGGAGTTGACCCGGGATCAGCTTGGGCATACGGTTTTGATTCACAACTCGGTTGCCCCAGCTTCGGAGACATTCATCAAGCCTTGGGAAATGCAAAGGCGACGTCATCTTACGCAGCTTCGCCCTTGACTGTAGCAATGATGCTATCCGAATCCCACTGTGGATGAGCAAATCCTGCACCACTGGGATGGATGAAAACCTATAAATAGTGGAATAAACCACCTACCAAGTGGTGCGAGGCGGATTTTGTCCATCCACAGTAGGTCCCAGGTTTACGCTTGAACATTGAAGCAAAGCTGGGTAAGAACGTGGCTCCGGACCAGTTGAGTATCCCTGCAAACTGAGGCTGAGCTGCCCGCAAAGCCGACCTCTGAAAGTCATAGCATTGTTTCACGTCTAAAAATATGTGACATCCCGCCACAGTCATTTGGCTGTGGGTCAAAAATGGGTACCCCAAATGGAACCTAAAACCTGCGGTCTTCAGGTGGTTAAATTTTGACCCATACCCATTTTATGGAGGTCCTGACAGGAGGTGGTCCAAGGGGGAGGGGGTTCTCTAAGGCTGCCGAAGGCTCCCTGACGCTGTAACCCTAAGCAACCCTAGGGCTCTCAACTACCTACCCCCCGTGTACCCACCCCCTTCAGGGATTCCATAGTCATTCTTCCTAGGGCACAACACAAAGGGCCACTTGGCTCTTGAAACATCTCTGGTTGCAACCAGTATCAAGTGGATCACTCCCAAGGCCATCTTGACTTTAAAGAAAAGCCTGGCCTGCACCATAACCTGGCCCTTTAAAGCCAACCGGACAGGACAGTCTTGTGAGGTGTGTGTTTTTTTTCTTCGGGAAATTGGTTAGCTTGTCTTGTTTCATTGTCTGCGAACAGACAAAGCCCGCCTTGTCTCACTTGTCCACAGCGAATCGACCTTTTGACCTTTTGGCTCTCCGATGTCAATTTTGAGTTATGGCCCCAAAAGGTGATCACCTTTTACTTTTTCCCCCCTCAGTAAGTAGGGAATGACCTTCCGGGTGTTGGGAATGAACCGGAAGGGGCTTCCCACCAGTTGATTTTTCTCGGGGTCATTCCAATTCTAATTCCCTGCGTTGCCCGCACCAGCAAGCAAAGTTCCAGGAATCCACAGAAGGTGCAAATACCTAGGGGTCAGGACCCCCCCCCAACATGGATGGGGATGGGACACCCGGATCTGCGCGTTTTTTTTCGTCCGGTTGGCCAAAAAGGAAGCGCCAAGCGGCCAAGTGGTCTCGATCCAGGAGCGATGGCCGCAGCTTTCGGCGCAAGGGCCCCGCAATGTTTGGGCCACTCGGAGAGCTCAGCGAGCGTGGCTCCCGAAAGGCGAAAGGGGAGTGTCGTGGTTGGGTCCCGGCGCCCGTTTTGTGGGGTGGGTTTCAAGGACCGAACGAAAAACCGAAGCCGTGGCTGGGGTCCAGCCACAAGAACAGACGCCATTTAAGGGGTGCATTTTTCCCCAACGGCTGAAATCAAGAGGTTGTTTGGGGGGTGGGGTTCTGGAGGGTTCCAGCAACCTCCGCGACTGGGAATAATCCTGGTGCTTTCTCGGGAAATCAGGGCCCTCAAACTTGGCCCGATGGGTTCTCCGGGCCAACGACCCGAGAGGGCCCCATGGCGTGGCTTGAAATTGAAGATGGGTGTGTTGTTTCTTTGGGGTGTGTCTCTTAATTTCAGGAGCCCCTTCGTTTGGTGATCTTTTCACTAGGGGGACTCAGAAAAAGGCAACCCTATTGTTGGGTGTTTTTTCATTTTCCGGGAAGAAAACCGGAGAAAAAAGGGGCCGGCATTTTTTGAGGGTCTCCAATTCCCCAACCAAAAAAGACGAGCCGCCACCAAACACATGGAACCCCTTTCTTTGGTGTGTGTCTTTTTTCTTTTCCGGGAAACCCACAAAACAGGGACCGCCCTCTCCATTTCAGCGCCGCCGATGTCTCGCTTCGGTTTCGAGGTGCTGAAGCCTGGCAGCAGCTCCAAGGGCAGCGGCGTCCTCTGCTCCTCGGCGTCCTGCTTCGCGTTTTTTTTTTTTTTTTTTTTTTTTTTTCCGCGAGCGACGGCGTGGCGATTTGGCTGTCGTGGAATTCCGTTTTGGGGTAGGTGCGCACTACTTATGTTAGAACCTATTTTAGTGGGAATTCGGATGTTCGCTGGGGGTACGGGCTTTTGGCCCATGACCATTTGGCCGTCGGCTTTTTGGAGGCGAATAGCGTCCACCTGGGAGTAGTAAAGGGGGGTCATAGGACAGAGGTCAGGGAGAAAGAAGATTCAGGGGGGTGGGCTGTCCAAAAGATGATCCCGAGATGTCAAAATTACACCGAAAACCCTAGACTTCCAAAGGACATTAAATAAATGGCCGAGGTGGCAAAGTACATTTTCTGGGAAAAAGGCTATTTTTTGCTTAAATTTGGTTGGATCATGATTTTCACGAAAATCGCACTTAAAAGTAGCTGGAGGGGGCTGCACAGTCCCATTTTGCCGAGCTTGAGAGTGCTTCGTGCGCTTCGCACTGCCTTCTGCAGAAACTTGCCAACGTCAGCCATGGGGCACGGCTCGGGAACTGTTTGTTTGATTTCTGCATATACTGGTCCAGCATACATCCATCGATCCATGCATGCATATTGGCAATTGCCAAGCCAGAAAAGAGCTACCACGTGCCGCGAATTAACACCAAAATGGTGCAAAAACGGGATGTGCAGAAAATGTCTTTTCTACGGCAATAAATGCCCGTTCTACGGCAGAAAATGTACTTTCTACGGCAGAACATGTACTTTCTACGGGTTGTCTACGGTTTGTTTGCGGTCCCTTTCGGTCACAAGCAACGAGCAACGAGCTCAACAAATCTCGGCTTTACGACTCGACCTGATGTGAATATCATGATTTTGCAATGTGCTTCCCCTTCTGCGGAATCAAGTAGCCCTGACTTACACCGTACTTTTCGTAGCGGTTATTTGCTTGCCTATGGTTTTCCCGAATGGTTTGCCTGTGGTATGTCTATGATATGTCTACGGTATGTCTATGGTTTGTCTATCGTCAATGTGCCGTGCTGAGAGCACTCGAAGAAATTGAGCCTCCATAGTAGATGCAACAAATGTCCCTTCTCGAGCAAAAAATGTCCGTTGTCCCAAGGACATTTATTTAATGGCCGAGGAAGTTCTGGGAAAAATGCATTTCTTAGTCCTCCCCCGCCCTGGGTCAACAAACAAGGTACCTAGAAAATGTCTTGAGATCTAGCTCAAAGCTGAGATTTCCATTGATTTCGTATTGATGGAGTTGAGCTGCTTGGCCGTCTTGTGTCGGAGGCTAGGAGCCCGGGTCGGGGGATTTTCTCCAGGGAACTCACCCAGAGTTTCTCTTTTTGAAGGCTACGTTTTGGTCTTCATGTGGCTTTTTGAATTGCCGCTGCTTTCAAGAAACGTGGAAGTGGTCGGAGCGAGGGCTTGTCCTGGAGAGGTTGGAAGGTGAGATTTGTGTGCAAGGGAGGCCAAACTTTATGGCCATTTGGCAACGGATCTTTGGAATTGAACACTTTTTGAGGAAAAGCAGCTGAAATTTCCCATATTGGATCCACAAAGGGTAGGCTTTTGGCAGAGGGGGCGTCTCAGCAGCCAAGAATGGATGTGTGTGTTTTTTGAGGCTCACCCTGCTGAAGGTTGGTTCAGAGGGACATCAGTTTGAAAAACCACAAAGCTAGGAGGTCAACCTAATTGACACACACGCACACACGCAGATGTTGTTTCTTTTCTCAGTTTCCTAGGCAAGCGAAAGAGACGGATCACGGATCCAGGTCAAAAAAGCAGACTCCGGGTCAGATGCCCAAGTAAAACGGGGGGGGGGTGGGAGATAAGCTAGTTCTTTTGCGGATGGACTTTTACAGACCCCTTCTTCAGCACTTCTGCTTCTGCTGGGAGGGAGGGGGCCACCTACAAGACCACTGACCTTGGCTCCAGGCTTTTGACTCGTTGCAGGAGCGCACCTCCTTGGCGGCCCCAAACGGGTGACCACCTTTCAGTCACTGGCGAAGGAAAAACTCACACGTGAAAATAGATGGCACAAATTCCTTCACCACAATGCTGGCAACGTTGCCAACGTTCAAAGCATACTTCGAGTGTCATATCATTCGCCTCCAGGCATGGACTCCTTGCCAGAGGTCCTGCAGCACTGCAAGAAGGCCTCCAACCGCATCGTGCAGAAGCGACCCGGCCGCGAGTCGCGAGTCCGACGCGAAGTCCGGCAAACATGGTTTCAATGGTCACCCCTTTGGCAATTCGTTTCACTTGGGATGTGTTGAGGTTGGAAATGTGAACCGGCAGCCGGGAGCAAAAAGGTTCCATTTGTTTTGACAAGCATCAGCATTTCTCGCAGCTTTTCTGCACGAAAATGATGGTTTCGGGCTGGGAGCACCCCCTTGGGGACCAGGTGCCCCTTGATGTTTTCGAAGTGCCTACAGGTACTTTGGCATCCTTCGGCAGGAGGGGGGTGAAAAGGTCTTGTTGTTCAAATGCATGCTGCCACTCTGGTGTTACGTAGTAGTATGTTAAGTAGCTTCATCCTGGCTCCCTTTTTCCTTCGTTTTTCAGGAGCCCACAGCTGTTAGGCAACCCTCATGATGCAGTTGGTGGTTTGGATTGGTTCGGGATTTGATCCCCTGGTTCTTGAAGAGTGCAAACGGGAGACTACCCTTGGCCACCAAACCACCAATCACAAACCACCAAGAGAGCTGATCAGCGGTCCTTTGGCCCCCCCTAAAAAGCCAAGACAACGATGGAAATCCTTTTGGATTTCCTTTTTTGGTGTTCCTTTTTGGTGTCCACCCCCAAGCCCGCAGCTGGGCTGCTCTTTCTGGAGATCCGACCCGTCTCACGAGGTACATCGAGCGGCCCTTGCTGCTCTTCAGCGGGAGGAAGTTTGACCTGAGGCAGTGGGTCCTGGTGCGATCCTTTCAGCCTCTGAAGGCAGGGGATAAGAAAGACAGAGAGGGGGGATAAGACATGGGGGCACGGAACTTGGGGCTTTCGGGACCTTTGAAGACAAGGGGCTTCTTAGGGGGTTCTTATATGCGGGCGGGGAAAGACGCAGAGGTGACCCATGGTGGGTGCCTTTCGGGACCCGTGAGGCGGAACTGGGGCAAAGCGGAGCTTGGGCGGATGCGGTAGGAGGTTGTTCCAGCAGGCAGCCAGGTTGCTTGGGTGTTCGACGGGGGCTCGCGAGGGAGACGGGGGGGGGGGGGGGTATTCTCCAGTTTCTGGCCATCGTGTAATTTGTTGGGGGTCGCAGGTTCATGCAATGAGGTTACTTTGGTTTGATGCTGCACGTCGCGGCAGGTCCAGTCACATGTTACTTGTCCTTTGGTCAGGTTTGTGCCCAGCACGGGCCTCGGGAGGTCTACATGTTCTCCTCCTGCTACCTCCGGCTTTGCAACGAGCCCTACGACTTGGGAGATTTGGCGAACCGCCAGCGGCACATCTCCAACTGGCGCCCTGAATTCAGTCGGCGTGGGCTGATGTCACTTTGTGATCTTTTGTTTGGTTGGTTTGCGCGGTGTTCAGCCCTCAGTGGGAGAAAGGGAGGACGTACGCCAGTATGTTTAGCCCCATCCCAACTGGTGCATGATTTTGGTTCATGCACCTATCCAGTCATGTTCGCAGTTCTTTCCGCTGGCGCCAGAAGGGTGCTTAACTAAGGTGTTCCGGTTAGGTTCGCGGAGTCAACTTCATATGCCGCATGACGTTCCTGCCGAACTGCACCAGCACAAACTCGTTAAACATGTCGATGCTCATCACCGGCGTCACTCTGAAGTCGGACCTGTGCACATCCCGCTTTGAAGAGCCATGGTTTTGAACAGTTTGGAGTCTTACGGCTATGTTTGTGCCGCGGTTGAATCCCCCAAGTGCTCTAAACTCGTCTTGAGGCTGACCCATATTGGTAGTGAGTAATGTGGACAGCACCGGGAAATATCCGAAACATCGGCAGAAGGACTGCTAGGATAACAGTAGATGGCACCATTCCTTCAGTTTGGTTTAGTCGTCCCTTTGCTTTATCACATAAATCTGCCGTCTGCTTTCACCCTACCAAAGTGCAGGAAGAAAGCCGGGGCCAACAGTCGCCCACTCACCAAGTGTTTCTTGCCACCGGCCTTTCTCGGATATGCGAGGAGCTTGACTTCCATCCCCATGGGTAACTGGGATCAACTCCGCCCACAACCACCAATCCCAACCACAAATCATGGCTCAGCTGATGTGTCAGAATCAAAGCCCGGCAGATTTCCCTAGCTCACCCTCCCCCAATCTATCCCAATCTCACTCCCTGAGTTGCTGGACTTCGCATTTTTTTAAAGGAAGGCCACCGAAGTTTGGTGGCATTTTTTTGGGCGAGTGACTCGCCAGCCCACTCGCTCGGAAGCGCGCCGTTCCCACGGCTTGGCTTGCTGGTGCTCAGCAGAGCTGGGGGGAACGACCCCAACAAAAACCCATCCAACTGGTTCCCTTTCTTCGGGACTCCACCAAGCCGGTTTCATTCCATTTCTCCTGCCCGACCTGTCGCAGCAAGATTTTGCCCATCCCTACTTTACTGGGGGAGGGGGGTGGGCCCCAATTCGATTTCTCTAGCCTTGCGCACAAAGGGACGATAAATCCATGAGGGGTCGCAAAAAGTCCGCGGTTCGACCAAAACTCGCGCTGAGGTCGGTGAACAAAAACGGGCGCCACGTGGCGGACGGTGCGGTGGCGTCCTTGGAGGAGTTCCGAGATGTCTTGGAGTCCATCACCAACTCCCGCGACTCGCCTCGCCTCGCAGACTCGCCGTGGGGGGGGGGGGGCGGGGGCTTAGGGGAGAAATGGTCTGTGACAATGTGGCGAATCTGGGGATCCACCCGTGTAAGATATTAAAAGAGTACTAAGGGGGGGGGAGGAGAAATGTGTCGAAGTGTCTTTTGATCTAGGAAACGAGTTGGATGTGGGCCGAATCTGTGGATCCCCTGTAAGATATTGAAAGAGTACTAAAATAGTACTAAGAAAGAACCTACCAGGGGGAAGAACTGGTGAAATGCACAAGAAGCGCATGCAAACCGTTTTCTAGATTGGAGGGTCCCACCCCTTTGGTTTCTTTCAAGGAGAGCCCAAGGTAAACAACCTGGAAATCCGCGCTTTTTTTTGAGGCTGAGTTGGTGCATGGCACAATTCTCTTGCGCTAAGCCCAAGTGTCGGACTTTCAGCCAGGGATAAACACCAACTGTTTGAACATGCCCCTGCGGGTCCCGCTTAGGTGGCCAGTTTAATTGGTTAAGCTGGCAAGTCTATCACATTTGTTCAAACATTTTACTTCATCGTTGCTAGTCTTGGCAAGGTGGGACCAAAATCCCCTCCTCCCACCCCTCCTCCCCCCTTGCCCAACCCAAGGCACCTACTGGGAGGAGGCGTTGGTGCCACAATTGCAGAGCTGCATCCTCCAGAGCCTGCGGGCTGTGCAGGAGAGGGTGGTGCAGAGGCGAGGGGGGGGGGGGGATGCTTTGAGCAGACTCAACTGCGACTTCCCTTGTTGATTTCGATAGGGGATCTATCACTGCTGGAAATATGGGTTAAACTACGTTTGAAATATGTTGAACATATCTAAACTGCTGAAAATATGTTTGGAAACTATCTCTGCTGGAATTGTGCTCATGCTTTCTATGGTGAATTGAGCAAATGAATGGTGACGTTTGAAGGAACAGGCGCATCGGTCTTGCTTGTTGGGAAGACTTATGCAAGAAACTGAACCTTTTAGGGAACCCACATCTCGAAGGAATCTGAGGGGAGATTCTCAGCCGCATCACTATCATGGGCGGCGCTTCAGGGTTGCTTTTTGCACGCAGGAATCGGCGCACATGGGTTCCATGTCCTGCTTGTCAAAGTTTTTGGGCCGAGGCCCCTGATTGATCTTTTTTGGGGGGTTTGGTGGAAAGAGCTGGTCTTTTGAATGCAACTGCCTGGGCGGGCTAGGCTTTTCGGCGCTTTACTGAACAGCAGCTGGCACTTGCTGATGAAACGCATGTGTGGACGTCTGCCGGATGTTTGGACACGTGTCGTGCGCTTGTTTGTGCTCTAGTCTTAATCTGGTTACCAGGTTTTAGAGGTTGGATTGGAGGTTGGGGGGGTTCAAACCCTTTCTGATAGAGATCGAGTGGGACACCACCCTAACTTACCTAACCTCTAAACCGGCGGGCTCCAAACCACCAAGGCCTTCGGGGCATCTGAAAGGCAGCGCCGCTACGAGACGAGTAACGGAACCCAACCAATCCCAGCCCGGCAGGTCTTTGGAAAACATGGCTCCAGGGATGACTCGTGACTGTGTTGGATCCTGTGCCTTGTAGGGGAAATCCACAAGGCACTACGGGCACTACGGGCCAAGGAAATCTTTCAGTTTTGTTTTGTTTTGAGTGGAGGAAATGGTTCCGAAGAGCTGGACTTATTTCCCGTCACTTCCGCGTTTTCACACCAGCTGCCCCCGGACAGAACGTCAAAAAGGGGTAGCCTTGCTCCCCTGTCGTGCTATGAGCTTTCTTTTGGCTAGCACCGTTGCGGGAAGGGAAACCGCAGCGGGATGCCGCTTCTTTTGGGGGCGGGTGTGTCTCTTTTTCAGGGTACCCCGTTTTGCTTTTGGTTTCAAAGGGAAACCACGCGGGAGCCCACCATTTTTGGGTGCCCCCTAAAAATTCCACATACCCTGGTCACCCGGGTTCCTGTTGGCGGCCTTGCATGGGGGCGTCTCAAAAGAAGTCCATGGCGCTCATGGCGCAAGCCTTCGAGCGAGGCCCGAGTGCTTTGAAGTCTACGGCTTCGATTTCATGATCGCCGAAGATCTGAAGCCCTGGCGCCGCGGACGCAATGGGCCGCGCGCGATTTGGCGCGCGCGAGTTGGCGCGGGGGGGGGGGGGGGTTGTGTGTGTAGGCGGTGGAGGGTAAGCCCTTGGCTTGAAGCAAAACCACGGGGAAGCCACACTTTCCAGCATCCCCTTTTGTGTGTGTGTGGTCAACGGACTCGTCCCTAGGCTCCTGGAGGTGAATCTCAGCCCCGCCTGTGAAAGCCGCACGCCCTGGATGTCAGAGATGCTGGAGCGCCACTTGGCAGGGGCCGGAAGCCGCCAGGGGCACGAACCCACGGACACAGCAGACGGATCCCAAGGCTGAAATCTAGGAGCCCTTGGTCTCTGTCATAAGCTGGTCCCTGAGCTTGTCCAAATCAGTTCACCTGTCGGCTTGCTTGGCAGCATGCAGCAATCTGTATGGCTGCAACCTACCTTAGTGATCGAGCATATGTTCCGGTCCATTCAGAGTTTCTTTATAGAGGAGCCAGGTCGATGTCAGATTTGACCTGGCTCCTAAAAGTCGCTGGCAGCTCGCAGCTGAGACTCAACAGGCGCCATGAAAGCATACAGCAGTTCCGTTTGGGGATCCTCAACGCCCAGTGCCAATCCTCGCGTATGGCTGACATGATCCAATCCCTCCGGGCCATCTGACACCGACGGGGTTGGCCAAGGAATGGCCTCAAGGCTGGTGGAGCTGGTGCTACAAGGCGCCCTGGCGCGTGGTGCGATCTGGTTGCCCAACCTCAGCCACACTGAAACTTAGCCCGCGCCGGCCAGCTTGACAAACAGAGAGAGCTGGAAGTGTGAGAAAGGACGCAAGACCCCGAGTGGTCTTGCCCCCCTCAATAACCCCCACAAACCCCAGCCCCAAATCAAAATCAACCACGTGTTTAAGACTGCTGCGCCTTTTCCTAAGCATCTCTACAAGAAAATCACAAAACTGCTAGGGACCCCCACTTTGACACATCCTAATTCTGTGAATATGGCTTTGCGGGGCCTGTTGTTACAACAAATGCCTCCGTTGGGACGCTGGTGACATGTTGTCCCGCCTTAGGGGTCAACTTGGCCCCGCTTCCCCCGCCAGTTTCACCCAACTGAATGCAAGCAGACGCCCAACTGAGGTGCCTTGGAGCCCGACGGTGAGGAGCCGGATTGGGTCTGCATCGCGGATGAGGCCTCCGTCAAGACCGCGGAGATCCTTTCGGACTGGCGCCTTGAACCTGAACCAGCGACCCATGAAGCAAGCGCGGCGGGGTCAAGCACCTTTTTTTTGTTCATTTTTTTCCGGGCCCATTTCGGTCCTTTCCGGGTTTTTGGGCGTAACTGCCAAGGGGGGCACAGCCCTGGCGTCGTTTTGGTGGATGGCGTGGTGATTCACGCGGCAAACCTTCAAGGAGGTGGTCCCTTTTTGCCCTGCTCATCGGGGAAAACCTGCGCGGCCGATCAAACTTTAGGCTGCACATGGCGGAAGTTGCGATTTTTCAAGCCAGGGGTGCCAGGCCAAGGTCAAAATTGGAGGCCTCAGGGCCTCCCATTTTGCATGGCCAGGGCGAACTGCAATTTTTTCACTTTCCACTTTAATGGAAGATGAGTTTATTGAGAGCACCTCCATTTTCATTGATTCATGTTAAGCCCAGCTTTTTCTACATGATTTTTGAATCTTAAGCCCGGGTTTCTATGTGATTTTGAATGCTAAGCCCGGGTTTCTACGTGTTTCTTGCGAGGCCCCAGGTTCCACAAAAGACCCAAACCGCGCCGAGCGAGACGCCGAGGGAGAGGAGCAAAGACATGCCGCCGAAGCTGGCGGTGCTGGGGCAGCCCTTGAACCGCCGCTTGGAGCGGCATCTGGAAGATCTCTGGCGCCGGCAGCAGGCGCAGCTCCTCGACGGCAACACTGTGTTTAGTCCATTTGCTTAAGAATATGTCTTTCCCTCTTGGTTTTAAAGGGAATCTATCACTACTGGACATGTTTTTGTTTTTTTCCCAGGAGGCTTAAGCAAATTGGAAGGTTGGAAGGAGCCAAGGGGAGCTGGGTGGTGCAAGCACTCCTTGGATCCTGAAACCCTGTGAAGATCAAAATCCGGGGGAGGTAAAGCGGAGTCCATCAACATCTTGGATCCTGAAACTTTGGCGACTCGTTTTGGCCAAACCACTCAGGAAGGGTAAGTCTTAGATCCTGAAAATGTATGGATACTGGGATGAACCACGAACTGCAGGATGTTGTCCAGTATCTTGGATCCCCATGGAAGTGAGTAGGACAGTTTGTGTTTTTGCCAATCGCAAGGTAGATCCAAGCCCCGAATGGGTGTGTCGATTTTTAGGGGACCCCCCCAAGAAAAACAAGAAGACCAGTCCTCCTGGTTTCCCTTTACTTGGGGTTCCCAGCCATCCCCTCAGGTTTTTTGGCTTGTAGGGTTTAGTGGGGGGGTTCTATTTCACCCGCTAGAAGTTAAACCTTGATCCGAGGGCAAGGGGTGCCAACTCAAAGAAGGACACGCCCAAATTGTGTCTAGCACCAGGCTGTTGAAACAATTCGCCCATAAGGACACCCGCCATTGTTTGGGGAGTTCTCTAACAACAAGGCGAAACCCCACCAACCAGTCGGGGTACCAACTGTTCTACTCACTTCCATGATGGGGATCCAAGCTGGTGAACAAAATCCTGCTGTTGGTAGGTTTACCCCAGGGTACCAACTCCAAAAGAAGCCCAGAATGAAACCCGCCCTTTTTTTTTGAGGGTCCCCGCCATAAGAAAACCACCCAAGGTCCCAACTCTAGAAAGGACTTGAAACCACCAGCTAGATCGGCGCGACGCGCCCCAAGCTGAGGCTGACGCTGGGCCGGTGTCTCCGCGGCTTCCTGGTCCGGCGCCAGAAGCGCCGCCAGAGGGCCCTCGGCGCGGTGAGACTTCTGCAGCGCGGGGCGCGGCGGTGGCTGGCGCGACACCGTGCGCGACGGGAGGAGCTGAGGGAGGCGGCGAATCGAAACCGGCGGCGGAAGGGACGCAGCGGATTGCTCAGTCCCTGGGTTCATTGACTTTACTGGTCGCCTAGTAGTGCCAACTTTTGCCGTGTCTTTTTTGGGGGAGGGTCCCCTACTAAATAGACTACAGAAAAAAAGGGTACCCTTATTCAAACCTCTCTACTCGAGGACTTAGTGACTTTTTGAGTTTGGACCTTTTTTAGTGCAATGAAGAAGTTTGGTTGCTGTTTTTTGGCCGGTCCACTCAGGAAGTGAGGGACGCCCTAAGTCTTCACTCAAAGAAGGGGTGTGGCCTAATTTGTAGGTTGGACCCCCCAAAATCGTGGTGTTACCTCTTGGTTTCCTTGCAAAACCACGACATGTTCACCTTCTGGTTTTTCAATTTTGGTCAGAAGCTGGCCTTTTTTTTTCCTGATTGACCTTTTGTTTTCGAGGTTCCAAAGGGTTAACCTTTTCTGGGTCATGTGGACAACCGAGGGTCAGCTTCGCAATTGGTGGCTTGGATTGGTGGCGGAGTTCCGTGTGTCAAAATACCTCTACAAGAACCGGGAGTTTGAATTCCCAAGCCATCTACCCAAGCCAAGCAGTGGTGAAATGTGGCTGTGTCAAGGAAAAGGGGTGGGGTTTGCTTTGGTCTCTTTAGCCCAGGCCAGTACAGTTGCGCTGTTTTTTACGCCACAAAACCTGGAAGTCAACTTGCCGGCTCTCAAGGAACGAACTGATCCATCTCCTTGTAAGGCATTTGGCTCATTCCCGAGACCCCCTTTGATTCCCGGAGGACCGGGAAGAAAAACCCACTTCAGGCAGTCAAGGCATTTGGTACTTTGAGGTTCAACCCAGGCAAGTGGGTTGCCGCCGTGCTAAAAATCGCGGGGGAAATGGCCGGAAAAGCCATGTTTATAAGAAAAAACACCAGGTGGACCGGGACTCACCGTGGCGTTGGGCGTCTGCATGGTTGCTACTTACCTGACGTACCCTGCTCCTAAAGCTGCTTAGTGAGCAACGTCCACTTGGGATGGTACAGTGAGCACAGAACTCCTGAGACTTCGTGCGAAAATCCGTGGGGCATGGGTCCATGTGCCAGCATGTGCCAAGTGCGTCCAAGTACACTCCTGCCCACCAACGGCTCTGGATGTGCCGCAACTCCAACGAAATGAAGGGCAGCATGTCAACCAAACGGATACTCTGCCAATCATTTTCTGGGGGGCTGGGCACTCTGCAGGATGGAACCTCCTGGATTGTGGTGAACACAAGTGAAGTTCAAACAGCTTCCTGACCCCTGGAGGCCAGGAACCTGCTGCGAGGCTCTGGGGCTCCGGGGAGGGGGGGGGGGAGGGTTCAAAGGAGAGAACTGAACCAAACTTGGGCCTGCTCTTGAGCCTCAATTCCCGTTATGTGGATTATCCCAAATGAGTCTGCATGGCAACTTTCACCCACAGAGTTGGATCTTGAGCCTTTGGCCTGTTGGGGGTTGGGGATGGGGATTGGAGGCATGGAGGTTGGTTCGGGGGTTGGTTGGGTAGGGGTGGTGGGAGGTGTGGAGGCTGCGGGGGGTTTGGATTTGGAGGGTTGGTCGGAGTGGTGGGTTGCAGGGGTGGAGTGTTTTGGTAGTGGTTGGGGTGGTTGGGGTGGTTGGGGTGGTTGGATGGAGGCATGGGTTTGGTTGAGTAAGTTGTTGAATGGAGTGTCGATTCCGGGGGTGATGCACCAATAAATCGATGCGTCAATCTTGAGGTCGCACTGAGTTTAATTCTGGGCTTTGGTGTTTTTCCCCCTAGGCTTTGAGGTTTTTCCCTGTGGCGGGGCAACCCGACTAAGATTGACTAAGAGTTCAATACTGCAATCCTGTCAATATGTGTGGGCGTTCTGAGGTGCCAGTTTGTATGCCCAAGAGGCAAAGCAGAAACTGACCCTTGCGAAAGCCATTCTTATTCAGAGGTGGTGCTTGAGAATTAAAGACGTTTGCAGGCCACGGATGTGACTCTCGTTCAGATTGGCTGTAGGAGCGGCTCGTCGCTTTCTGGGGATGCTGCAGCTGCGGCAGTGCCTCCGGCGTCACAGCGCTGTGTGCGTCCAGCGGCTCTGGCGAGGGCACCTGGGCCAGGGCCGCGCCAAAGCGAGGCGCCGCCTGGTGGCGGTGCTGAGGCTGCAGCGGAGCTGGCGGAGCTGGCGGCACCGGCGCCGGCGGCTGGCGCAGCAGCGGGTCGCCAGGTGCTGGCGAGATCTGCTTGCCCGGCGCAGGGCAGACGCGGCCAAGCGCCAGGCAGCACAAGGCGCGGCTGCCACCAAGCTGCAGGCCTTCCTACGGGGAACTCGCGCCCGGCGCCGCGCGGCTTGGCTGCAGCGCCTGGTGGCGCCCTCCAGGCACCTGGCCTTGGTGCTGTCCTTGGCGCGGTGGCGACGCCAGCTGGCGCTGCAAAGGCGGCACCTGGCAGTGCAGCGGCTGCAAAGCGCCTGGCGCGCCTGCCTCTTGGTTGCTCTTTGGTTCCTTTGGCCTTTTGATCTTATAAGAAACGAACCAGTGCAAACTGCCATAATTTCTGGCGACAGTTTAAGTACCACGTGTTTCTCCACTAGAAGCTTCACTTTTGGGATTTGTTTGTTGCCGCCCAAGGCCTTGGCCGTCGCCTGGGCGCGCTGCGGCTCCTACGACGCCAGTGGCTGCCGCGGCTGCTGCGCGCCTGGTGGCGCCAGCACCGCGCGGCGCAGCGCGCCGCGGCGCGCGCGCGCAGCGCGTCTGGCGCGGCGCCGTGGCCCGGCGCCGGGCGCGGCGGCGGCGGGGGGCCCTTCGACGCCTGCAGCGCGCCTGGCGCGGAGTGCTGGCCAGGCGCCGACATCGGAGTCTGCGGAATGAAAGATGCACACAACTCCCGCTAATGTTGGGCCTTGGGGGGCGTCGCGTTCAAAGGAAACTTGACATAAACCAGGTACAGGGTACCAGTATCAAACCAGGTGCGACATTGTTTGGTTCAGTCTGCCCTTTAACCACAGAGGGAATCACGCCAACCACTGTTGAAATTACTCCAGACGGCCTGTTGAAGCGATTTGGCTGTCAGGCGCCACAGCAGGCGCGTTCACGCAGCCACCGAGGTGCAGAAGTGTGGCTTGGCTGGGGCTGTCGGATTTTCCGAATCCCTGGGGCGGACTGCCATGACTTCGAAGATTTCACTCGCTTTTCTCAGTTGTTCCCTTTTGTCCCATGTTTAGTAGAGGTCCCAAAAGGTTCATTTTCTATTTTTGGGTCCTTTTTGGGCAAGCGAGTATTTTGCATCGGCATGGTTTTGATTCGCCGGCGGTTTTTAAGCTGCGGAACAATTGGCGCCAGCCTTAATCGAAATTCGGATGGCCGAGGCGTGCGTGGCTTGCAGTGCCGCAAGCAACACAAGCGGGACATGGACAAGGTCCACAGGATCCAGAAAGCCTGGCGTCGATGGATTGCAAGGCCCGGAAAGGGGGCCGGAATGACGATCGAGGTTTGACGCTAAGTCCATTTCGCTGCTCAGACTTTTGCTGAAAGATACTCGCAAGGTGGTTTAAGCTTGGATTTGAACTGTGTGGTTCTTGTAGAGGCTCCAAACCACAAGTGTTCCTCAAAATGGCGGACCCCCTTTGGGGTGGTATTGAAGGGAAACCAAAAGCATACCAACCGTGTAGGATACCAAGAAAACGCCATGCAGCTCCAAACCAAGGGGAACAATAAAGCAATGTTAAGGAGGATACATACCCTTGCATACAAAACCAGCCCCCCGTCGTCACAGCAAACGGAAAAAGAGTTGTTTGCATTGTGAAAGAACAATCACCATCGCCCTTTATTTGGGTTGTAGGTTTGGAAGAGCATGTTTGCCATTCGATGCCGAACCTGTCCAGGTTCCTTGCAACTCATGTAGAAACCAAAAGCCACCTCCAAAACCGGGAAAAACAACAAAACCAAACTATTTTAAGGAAGACACCCACAAACCCTTTATGTAGGAATCCCTCTGAAGGAAGACACCTACCCTTCATGCCAAAAAACAAAACGCCTTCCACAAAACCCACCGAAACGCCGCGCGCCAAAGACGCACCGCGCCCACCCGCCGCTCGCCGAGCGCGGCAGGCGCCGCCTGGCGATGCTGCGGCGCTTCGCGGAGCGGCGGCGGAGGTGGCTGGCCGTGGAGGCGAACCTGTGGCGCTGTGGGGTGGTCCCACTGGTGGTCCAAACTTTCAAACCTTTGGACAACTTGTGGTGTTCACCCTCTTTGGCGGTTCCCTCCTTTTTTTTTGGCAGACGGTGCTTCCCCTTGTTGGCAAAACCATTTTTGAGTAGAGGCCCCAGAAGGTGATCACATTTTCTTTCCAGGTCCTTTGGGCAACTGAGAAGAAGATACGTTCCCCTGACAAGCCTTGTTTGAGAGACTTTTGGAATAAATCGACTTTGCGACCTTTGGCTTTCCGGAAGTTGGCCCATTTTTCGTCATGGCCCCCTGGTTTTTTTGTGTGAGTTGGTTCATTTTTTCGTCAAGGCCCCCCGAAAGGTTAACCGTGTACTTTGGGGTTTTCCGGGCAACTGAGACTCACGCGCCTGTCGGGAAACCTTCCTCCAAACTTTGTTTGCCGTGTTTAGTGTTTTTCTTTTTTTTGGGGGGGGGTCGGTCTCGCAATAAGTATATTGAATGTTTGAGGCGTGACTTGTTAGTACTTCTTTAGCTCTTGTAAGTAAGTACTTGCAGCACTTGTTAGCACTTCCTTGTTGTGGGTATGTGCGTGTAGGCTAGTAGTACTAGTTTGTGTTTTCTCAGCCACTTGCTTGAGAATTTCAGGGGAAGTGCAGCTTGCCCAAATGCAGAAGTGGTCCCCGTATTTTGACGCGTACTCAGTTGCCACTGGCTGGGTTAGGTGATTTGCCCAGTGGATAACCCCTACCAGGGTCCCTGCATACCTGGGGCTGAGCCATCCACACCCACACCCTTGCTTCATGGTTTGGTTTTGGGGGGTTGAACTGCTGTCTGTTGTAGAGGGGAGATAGGAGCCACCCCGGAACACCTTCAACCCACCAATTCTAGGGAAGCTGCTACTTGGAGGCAACTTTGCGTGGACGCCTTTGGCAAATAGCCGATCAGTTGACCTTGCCAAGTCCCATGCGTGGTTTCTCCCTGGCCCTTGCTTAAGGGGTGCTGTTCCCAGCCTGTCGAGGGGTTGGACCTGACATCCGCCACGGCCTATCCGTTCTCCCAGTTCTCTTCCACGGCCTGGTTCCTCCTTTGTTGGCTCCGGGGTGCTCGGGCTATGATTTGTACAAGGCAATCAGACTTCTCCATGCGCAGGTGGCTGTTTATTCACCCCCTGTTTATGAATATGTGCCTGTCAAGGGCAGCATCGAATACAGCCAAGAGGAACACATATCAGGCTTGTGGTTCATGCCAGGTGAGATTGAGTTTTGAATGGGAAACGCCAGCAAAAGTGGGTGGTGGACAACACACCTTAGGATCCATACCCAGATGCCGGGAAGCTATGAGATCTGTTTGCTGACCCTGCTACAGAGACTGCATGGCCAGGAGTGGTCAAGCTGCGTGAAGCAGACCAAGGAGGCCAGGCGGAAGGTGGGTGTTGTGTTTTGGCGGACACAAAGTGAAAGGGTAGCGTCCATTTGGTGAGGACTATGTTCTATTTTCCCCTGTTGGTTTTAAAGGGAATCTATCACTACTGGAAATATTCTTATTCTTATTTTTTTCCAGGGGACTTAAGCAAATGGAGCGTAGGGTTCTTTAGGGAGCCTTAGGGACCCCCCCTTGGACCACCCCCGAGGGACTCCATGAACTTATCAAAGCATTTGGGGGCATCCTTAGACTTCAACTTTGGGGAAATGGTGCTTTCCCCCCTCTAAACAGGTTCTTGGTCCGACATAGTCCGGCCATGTTACCGAGCATGAAGATGCGGGAGCAAGAAGCTAAAGTTTAGATGCTCGTCTTTGACCCGTATATCTTTACCAACCATAGCGATGCGGGAGCAGCAAGTTAAACTCTTGAATAGGAGGATTGAGCCATCCAGTGTTGAACGATGCAGTCAGGTACAGTCAAGTTGAGATGTCGCATCCATTTTGGCTGAAGCGTCGCATCGATTTGGCTGAAGTTGTCAGTGCCACGTGGGACAGCTTTTGGGGGCAAGTTGCCTCGACTGCTGCATTTGAGGTCTGAACATATGCCCAAAGTTGGTGTTTGCCATTTAAGCTGTCTCCAGCTGTTAGTTTGCTTGTTTGACTCTGTCTTTGTCTCTGGCTCCGTCTCTGCGTGTTGTGCAAGCTAGGCGCGTTTGAGGAATCCAACAGAGTATTGGCAGCCAGCGTGGTGAGATGGTGGGAAGCAAGGAGTTGCATACAATCAATCTAAGCCACTCGCCCTTCTCCTTTAAAGTTGGCACCAAAAAAAAAGGAGCTTGGTGACAAAAATGCGGCTAAAGCCAATTCTAACAAGACAAAAAAGGTTTTGTGGGGCCCAAGGAAGGGCAAAATGAGGAAAAGTGAAGTTTTCACAAGGGTCAGGCCTCCCAAGAAAGCAGCCGATGGGGATCAGCCGATGGGGCCCAAGAAAGCAGCCGGGGGCGGAGTTGTGGGCTTAGGGGCCTTTTTGTTGCCGCGGTTGGCCTGGCCGGGCGAAAACTTGAAGATCTGTCTGAATCTCTTAGCGTCCTTTGAACTGCAACCGCCTGGGGCCAATCTCTGAAAGTCATCCTTTCTTTTTGCCTCATGGCTCACTCCCTGAGTTCATGGACTTTAGTCGCTTTTCTGGTTTCGGGCCAAAGCCAGCAAACACAACAAGTTTGGGTCCCAGTTTGGGTACTTTTTTCTGGGGCAGTCCACTCCATGGCAAGTGAGATGGACAGGTTCTCCCCCCCAAGGCCTGGCCCCCACCAGGAACCCGAGGAGGACGCCGCCACGGGCTCCCCTCCCGGCAGTCCCCGGCAGAGCCCGTCCGGAGTGGCAGCTCGCTCAGCCCAACGCTGGGTTCGGAGGGAGGGGTGGTTGGGGGTGGTTGGCATGGTGGGTGGGGGGGGTGGTTGGGTGGTGGGTGGGGGGGGTGGTTGGGTGGTGGGTGGGGGGGGTGGTTGGGTGGTGGGAGGGGCCGCCCTCTTTCTGGTTTAGTTTTGGCTTCTCGGAACTGCCGGCTTTTCTGCCAGAGTCACTAAGGAACTGGGGGTTGGAAGGTTGGCTATTGCTTCTTTGATGTGTTCCGCATGGGTGATAATCATGTTCGACGCATTTTTGCTGCGTTTTGTTTTCCAGGACTTGTGGCCTGCGGGGTTGCTGGGGTTGGACAGAACCCGGTCTCTTTTACACTTTATGTTTCTCACGCTTTCGAAGTGTGGCGGAATGCCGATCCTTGTGAATGGCCACCCTGTCGAGAGGCTGTCCGTATGGGCGAGGGACCACTGGGATTTATCGCGGCCGGGTCATTTGGCCCGCCGTCAGCCTGCCCTTAGGGCAAGCCAAATTCTGCAGCCTCACGTGACAAGGGACGAGGGACTTGGTTCACCACAGTTCTTTCAAAAAGTTCAATGAGTTGTGACAAAACTGGCGGTTTACATTTGTGCTTCTGGTTCGGCCCTTGGAAAATTGTCTCGGAGCGTGCGGATTCATCGGCCGCCAAGGAGAGTGAGTCATCGTCAGCGAAAACCGCCGACGAGAACGAGATCTCTATCGGCCTCGAAAATGAGCACGGCTCGCGGTGGGCACCTCAGAGCGGTGCCTCATGCAATTTAATTTGTTCCGTTGCTTGCTGGTTCTCAGCAGGGAATGAGTTGGCATGACCTCTATAAACCATCCCCTGTAGTTTATTTTAAGGGAATCCCTAGGCTTCATTTTCAAAACCCCGGGTGAGCACCAGCAGGGTTGCGGCTGCTTTTGCAAATCAAAGGGGATTTGCCTGACTTTGCCGGCCACATGTAATTGACCGCTCTAGAGGGCCCCCAACATGCCCCCCCCCCCGGTAAGCCACTCTGATGAGATGGCGCTAGCTCGGTCTGCGGCTGCTTCTGTTCCAAGGTCATGCGGTTTCACCGTGGGCTTGTTCCAAGAACGCCCTGACAGCAGAGAGCCGCTCGGATCCACCAGGAGCAAGGGGTTGAGTTGAATGAGAAGGCTGGCTTCTGTACTCTTGAAGGGTGCCCGCCCTGGCAGGTGTATAGTTTGAGCAACTTGCAGTTATCATACAACCACGCAAGCCGACCAGTCAGCACGTATTTGCAGGGTTGGTAGTGTCGGGTCTGTTTTGATTCACATGTGTTCTCGGCTCATGGGAAATGAACATTGGCGGGGGCCAAGGAAATGAAAGAAAGGTCGGGTTTTGGAGGAAAGGGAGGTAAACGGCACCCGCTTCTCCAAAGTCGACCCTTTTCACCTGTTGCTTTTTCAACCTTGAACAGGTGAACCTTAATGTCTGGCTCCAAGCTGGGCAGCGGGTACGTACCCTCCAAGCAATGAATCGTCCTGGTGTGGCCCCATTCTCCTTTTAAAGGGGCCGGGTCCCTGCCACGTCGACCGGTTCCAGCGGTTTATTGCTGGCTCAGGACGGAAGTCAAGACCTTTGCGGCCGGTGAGGCGAGGTGTTCAAGTGCGAGCCCGGGTAGGCTCGCTGGTTGAGTTCCTGGATAAAACGCGTGTCTTTTTGGTTGGTTTGTTGGAAAGTGACGAGTAACTGAGAGAAAGTCGAAGTGTTTGGGGAGGGGTTAAGGACAACCCACAATGCCAGGATGATAAGGCACAAGGAGGAGGCTTGTGCCATCTACTCTCACAGCCATTCGCAGAGTCCGCCGATAGGATGCTCTTCTGTGCACGCCCTCCCGTCCACTAATTCAGTTTCCATGGTTGAGATGGCTTTTCCTCAGTCGTGGCTCCATCCATCCCAGCCGCTGTCGTTTTTTCCCATTAAATCGGGGGGGGGGGGGGTTCCCATTTTCAGTAACAAACATACTGCGCAGCGTTTTAATGTTTTGCAGTCCACCCAGGCAGTACCCCCCAAAAGTGGGTTTTGCAAGCAGGTCCCACATCCCCCGTAACGGTACGTCAACCAAGTTCGGCGCCAGGCTTCACCTGTTAAGCTCACTGGCTGGGGGCCCAGGAAGGGGAAGGGCGCGAGAGAGAACCCCCCCTTGTTGGCTCCTACATGGTTGAAGGGGGGGGGGGGGGGTGATTAGTAAAACGGGCACCTTATTTGTTTAAAATATTCATAGGTTGCTGTTTTTGTTCACCTTGACTTTTGGTTTAAACAAATAACACCTTGCATAGCAAAGCCGATGTAGACGTTTAGAACAACAACACTTGTCCCAGTGGATCACAGTTGCCACTATACTAAGTACCCAGCAACCTAGAACGCCCATTGTTTCCAAAGGGGGGGGTGGGGGGGGTGTTGGGGGTTGGGGGTTGGGGGTTGGGGGTGCTTGGGGGGTCTGCGCTTCGTTGTTTTCGTTTCTCCTTTTTGTACAGATTGCCAGGCATCCATTCGTTACATTGGGCGCCTGTGATTTTTCAAATTGGCCCAGGTGTTGATCGAGGAGCGGAGGCCGGAGGGCCATGCCGTCGGGAGGTCCTGCGGGCACATGGAACTTGGCGACAGACAGGTCTTCCATGAGAGCGTGGAACCGACGGAACCTACCGATGGTCTTCTTGGTCAAGAAAGGGTCTCACAAAATCCAGGAGCTGTGTTTTCTCGATGTTTGCCCCTTGTTTTTTTTATTTTTCTTTCTGTTTCAGCCTGGGTTGGTGAGGGTGCGGCAGCTGGCGCTCCGGGCCTTTCCCTGCCGTCCAGCCCGTCCCTTCGGTTTGAGGCGGCCCTGGCGGTGTTGCGGGAGCTCCGGGACTCGCAGACGCGCAGGACATCGAAGTCGGACGTCGAGTGGGTTAACTTTGGTGCGTTTTGCCAAGGGCTGTTAGGACTGAATCACTTCTTGCCAACAAATTTTCGGGTTTTCCGTACTAAACCACTAGAAGTGTTTAAAACTTTTAGCAGGGGAGCAGAAAGCAACCGAGGGTTCTGGGTGTGACAACCCGCTGGTTGCTGGAAGGGCAAATGTTCGGGGGTGTCGAATGTTTTAGGGGGGAAATCACCCCCGCAATGGTGGTTTTCCTTTTGGCGTTCCTTTAAAGCCAGCTAAAAAAAGAGAAGGGGCGCCCGACAAAAAAGGCACCCATTTCCCACTACAACGTCTTATTTCAGGCCGGCATTTGTTTGAATTCAGGTAGGTTTTGTGGACTCGTAGCTGAGAAAACTTGTTTGCTGGATTCAAACGAAACACATGGTGTGTGTTTTTTTGGGGGGAGGGGTCCCTCTTGGAGAACCTCACCCGCTTTTGTTGGTGGATGGCTTTAGCAGCTGAGCTGGGGCAAGCAAGTCGCAAGAAGTGACTTGCGAACAGTCCGCCCAAGGACAAAAAGGACCGACTTACTTCTCTCACCGATCCAGGCGAAAACCCGTGAAGGTCCTGAAATTCCATTGGTTTCCCCCATATTTCCGCTTTTTGGGGAACTACTGTAATTTTGCCCTGATGCTACTGTGGATGGACTAAATCCTTCATCGGTTGGGATGGGTGAAATCCTATAAACCAGCACCAGATCTGGGTGGCCCCCTTCCCCCGAACCAGTCGCGCCTTGTTCGGACCAGTTCTTCAAGGCTGCATCCATACAGTTTGAGCACCCGGACGCACCAAAGGAATCTTCATAGGGATGCGATATGCTGACAGGTACTGTTGGGCAAAATCCAGCACCAGAGGTTCAGTAGTTTTCTTCCCCCCCCCATGAAGATTCTGTCCCACCAGTTGTTCGGTGTTCTTATCCAACATATTAGTTGGGTTTCACCCACCCTTCTGCAGGCGCGGCGAGCAGGCAGGGTGGGGGGGGGGGAATTCTTGGGTAGCTTCAACAAGTTCACAGGCAAAGAACGGCGTCTGGTGGCACATTATGATTGCTGGATTGTTTTAAAAACTTCTTTCAAGCTGGATGTGCTTAGGCTGGTCTAAGGTGATCTTCCAGGGCGGTTTGGCTCACACGTTCTGCCAAGCCAGGTGCCCCCCGAAGAATGGTCAATGCTTTGTGAGGCCTGCTGGCTCAGTCAACTTGGCCGATGTTGGTTGTTTTCAGGCTTTTTCAAGGCGGAAACTGGGGTTATGTATAACTCCCCTGAGGCCACTTGAGGGGTGACTGCGACGGTAAACTCATGGGGCCAGATGTGGACGGAGGTGGATCCTTGGGATGCCTCAAGAGGGAAACCAAAGGGAAGCCACTCCCAAAGCCCCTCCTGGACTACTTTGCTAGGTGTTTCCTTTCGTGGTGCTTCTACCTGTGTTTTCTGCTGGGTGGTTCTACCTAATTTTGGTTTCTTTTCCAACCTTTCGGGTCACTGTATGGCTGATTCTGGCTGTCAAGGCAGGCCCCCGAACTCTAATTGCGACGAAGGCCGTTCTTTTTGGGGCTAAGGCTCCGCTCGGACGTTTTGCCGCACCAAAGGACCGCGAGGGTACCTCCACTTCGGACCTTAAGGCCGTTTTGGAGCCCGGCGGTTTGGAGGTTCAGGAAGGGACAACCCCCCATGTGCTTCCCTCTTTGGGGAGTTGGTTTCCCTGGTTTGGAGCCCATGGAGCCCATGGAGCCCCCATTCACCTCTACAGCCAGCGCTTCAACGTTCCTTGCCTGAACCCCGGGCCCTCGCTCTCGGCTTAGGCCCGGCTGGGCACGGGCAGCGCGCTCCGCGCCGCGCGGCAGCTGCGCTGGCGGCCGGAGCCGGAGCCGCCCTTCGAGCGCGAGCGAGGCGCGTTTCAAGGTGACCAGGAAAAGGTGAACAATGGAAAGGTTGTAGTATCTTTGGGCTTGAACTTTTTCGAGTTGGTGCCCTTTTGTGGGGATACAGTTAGACTAGACCTTGCCCATCTTTTTTCTATAAAAAAACCTAGGGTCCTCCCTACACTTTTAGCAACATTTTAAAACAGCACCTCAAAAAGCACATTTTCAAAAATCAACATTTTAAAGCAGGTAATTTCCTAGTAAGTTCATCCATATTTTAAAATATAAATTTTAAAAAATAAATTTTCAAAAAAATATAAATTAAAAAAAAATACAAAAAATTAAAAAATAAATTTTTAAAAATAAATTTTACAAAATTTTAAAAAAATAAATTTAAAAAAAATAAAAAAAAAAAATAAAAAAAAAGAATACAAAAAAATAAAAAATAAATTTTACAAAACAAATAAAAAAAATAAATTTTCAAAAAAATATTATTCCAAAAATTATGATAAATTATTTTACAATAAATTTTATCACAAATTTTGTAGACATATTATGGGCAAGGTCTGGTTCATTCGTTTTTTACGGGCACCATTCTTCTTTAATTCTTTTTATTATTTTATCACACGTTGTTTCATTATAAATATTACTTCCTATTTGTTTTCTAAACATTCCCATTATTCCAATTGCACGTGTTATTGTATATCTAAGTTCGTGAGTTTTATACTCATCATTTAAAAACTCATTTAAAAAATCAAACAATATAACATATTTTAAACGTTTAATATTAAAAGAAACGTTATATAATTTTTTTACCATACTATAATACTTAAAAATAAAATCATTATTATATCCTTCGTCATCACACTCAGTTAGTAAATTATCAAACCCTTCTATAGTTAAGAAATTATTCATTACAATAAACACAAATATTTCTAAATCATCATCAAGAGTTTCATTATTTATAATATCAATATCTTTGTTATTCATATCATCAATTTTGTTTATAATTCTATTGCAATTATTGCATATAATGTATTGACAAATATTATTACAAACGCCATTTGTAAAACCGCGTTCAATTGGTAATTTTAGCATTTCACAGTCTTTGCATTTATAACTCATAAACCTTTTTTTCAATATATTTTTAGCATCGTGGACTGTATCACTCATCAAACTATATAATAGTATTATAAAATATTTCTTTAAATACTTTTACAAGAATTTTAATTTTAAATTAAAATTAAATTAATAAATTAAAATTAAATTAGGTTATGTAGATAAAATTTCATAATTTAAGTTCAGGATAATAATTTAATTGATGACTACTAAGTTGTATATATAACTTATGTCTTTCATGCATTATTTTTAAAATAATATTAATATCTCTCACTGTATTTTTAACATTAAACTTTTTACTTTCAATATATGTTTTAATGTCTTCTTTTACATCAAAACCTTCCCTACTATAATAGGTCAACATCCATAATATACCTTCAATCATTTTATATTTTTTCTTACTGATTTTTAGAAATATTCTAACATAACTATAAGGTGGTCTTCCGTACACAGTTAAAAATATTAAAATGTCATCTTCAACATTTCTTTTATCTATTTGTTTAATCTCCAAAATATTTTCTATTATATTTTGATATTGTCGCCATCTTCTACAAGTTCTACATACATCTTCTTCGCCCAATGCATAATCAATAATATTATTTACTATTCCGTTATGTAAATTCAGTTTATACAATTCTATATTTTCCTTTTTGAAGTGGCAACAATCATAGCATTTTTTATTGATATAACTATTGATTTTGGTTTTCATCATCTCGCTATATAATATATTTAGGTAATATTTCTTTAAATACTTTTTACAAGAAATTTAATTTTAAATTAAAATTAAATTAATAAATTAAAATTAAAATTATATTATCATAATTAAAATAAACATTATAATCATTTACAACTACAATTACATAATTTACAAAATGGGATGATATTTTCTATTGTATGAGTTAATTCATTATCTTTTCGTTGTGCTGTTAGATTTGTAATGATATTACCATTTTTCATATCAATAGTAAAACCACATCCGCAGTAATTACATTGATTATTGATATTATCTAAAAACCATAGAGTATTTACATAACCTTCTCTAGGTATGCTTCTTTTTGCTTTCCTGTCTTGTTCCTTATAATTCAACATTTTCCTTTCAAAATAACTCATAATACATTTTTGATTAAATACATCATCAACATCCTTTGTATATTTATAAAATTTGACTTTGTTTAAATCACGAGCACGTGTTACCGCTGTAAAAATCCATTCTGGATAATTCTTTACCAAAAAATGATTATAATCAAAAATTGTTATGGTGTCATCAATGCTACTACCTTGAGTAGAATGACATGTAGAGCAAGAAGAAAATATAAAATTGCTTCTTATTTTAGCAACTTCTACGGATTGTAAAATTTCGGTTTTTTACATTTTTTAATGTAAATATTCCATCACTTCCAATATGAACTATTTTATATTTGAAATTTACATTAAAAACTGACGTTTTAGTTTTAGTATATTCTCTACAAATTAAAAATTATCCTACTTCATATTCAGCCTTTCTATTTTCTAACTTTCTAATTTCATTTGATACATTTTTGCAGGTTGTATTCAAAAATGCTATGTTGTTTTTGGAACTACTTATGTCTGTGGTGTATTCAAAATATTTTTCAATAATAGTTTTAATTGGTAATTTATTAATAAAAATATCATATTTTATATTCTTGAGTTTATCCTTATCTTCCTGTGTGTTAAGTCTCTTACATTCTTTCAATATTATATTATGTGTAAAAATAT